TGCTTCGTTTAGTGATAATTTCTTGAGCATCGCTTCCTTTTTACCCATTGGTAGACCATAAACTCTATGAAAGTCAATTGGTGATATCTTTATGTAGTTTCCATCAGGCAGCTTGAATGATTGCTTTGCTGGATTGTACTTGCTCATTATGAATAGAGCAAAGTTCTTGTTTATCTTTGTTTGCTGGATGGTTGTTAAGCCTTCAAGGCCTAATTCCTGCAATTTTTCCCTGTTCAGCTGTTAATGCCCTTGACAGTGTGTTGATTCTTGTTGGGTTGCACCTTGTGCAAAAATCCTCCCTTGATTTTGACATGATGTACCTGAATCCATAATATAAGATTTGCTATATCATACCATTCCATACCATATTCTACCAGTAAGCAATACAGCGTGCAACACATCAAGGGTTGTTGAACAGGTTTTCAAGTGATATTATCTTACCATATCATATGGTATAATGATAAATGGAAGCATAACAGCGGTTTTTTGTGGTTTTTTATACATTTTAGAAAATCTTCTTCACTGTAAGTGCTTTGAGCATTACTCGAACAGTTACTCCTTATTATACCATATGATACCAGTGTGGTATTATGAAAAATGAGAGCATAACATAGGTTTTTTGTCGTTTTTGTACTTTTCTATAAAATGTATTTCACTATAAGTATTTTAACCACTACTATGACGGTTTCTCCTTATAATACCATATGGTTTCAATGTGGTATTGTAAAAAAAAACAGAGCATAGCATAGGTTTTTTGTCGTTTTTATACGTTTCTATAAAATATATTTCACTTTAAGTACTTTGACCACTACTTGAACGGTTTTTCCTTAGAATACCATATGGTACCAGTGTGGTATTGTAAAAAAATTAAAGCATAGTAGAGGTTTTGGTTTGATTTTTTTATCATCTCTTCAAAACGGTATGATTAACGTTGTGCAAGAACAAAAATCTAGTGGTGAAAACAATTTGCATTGTGAAGTCTGTACTTGAAATTAGACATTCAGAATCACGAATCTAGATTTGAAGAAAGAAGTGATGATTTACCTTGATCGTTGACGACGTCGAAGTTGGAAACCCTCACTTGATCGCTAAAGAATTGAGATCAGTATCCTTTGCTAACGTTCTGAAAATTCGAGTTTGCAGTTTCTTGTCAGTATTCTTTGTGAGCGGAGATGGATATCATAAATGGAGAGAATGGATAGCGTAAATGAAAGAGAAAAAGCAGAGATGGAACGCCAACCGTCTGTGGTGCTTTTTGCTATAGCAAAGTTGGTGATAATGATGGCGGGGAAGGGCCGCGTCTTCCCTTTACAAATTGTCAGAAGGATTGTCAAGTTCCTATATTACCCCACGTGTATTTAATATCCCATATCTGACGGTCATCAATGGATTGCAATGGATGGCGGATCGGTTGGTTACTAACAGTTACTCACCTGATGGTTACTGATGGGATCCGGACCCGGGGGGAGCGTATCCTGTCAATAACCTTGTGATCAATAACTATGCATAACCCAATCAGAATCCGCCACATCAGCGCCCCTTCTCTTTTCTGAAAAGCCTTTAATTTCCCCCTTAATCTTTAACGGACGATTTCTCACTCATTTTAAGTCGAAATTCAAAAAAAAAATTGCACAGTTAGATCAGATTAATTGTGCTCTTCAAAATGATATCCACTTTGATATATTTTTGGAACAAAAATATTGAGCCATTTTTTACCAATCTATACAATGTGGTATTGACTGGTATTGAAATAAGAGCATACCTACGGTATGAAAAGCGTACCATGGTGGTATGAACAAACTAAGACTGTAGGATGGTTGAATACATGATAGTAGAAGTATATTAACTGTCATTTACGATATTTAACATTGTGTACCACAAGATACCACCCTGTACCAGGGTGGTATTGTGTGGTATTTTTTGGTCCTGTATTTTATTCACCCTGAAATTTGTAGATCCAATAGATCATGATGAACTCGCTCCTTCTGTGCAAAAATTTTAAAAAACGAATTAAAACGAAGAAGATACCATATGATATGCAGTTGGTACCGAGAGGTTTTTTCTAAAAAAAAATATTGAAAATGAATCTCATTTTTTAGAGCACAACGAACTCGTTCCATCTGTGCAAAAAATTTTGAAATTTGAGTTAAAACGAAGAAGATATGAGTCGATTAAGAAAACAAGAGAAAAATAAAAATGTCTTTAATTCTCCATCCTTAGATATGAATTTTCTGAATGAATAGTCCAGATTTAGTTACTGATGGGTGCATAACCATGCACCTATCTAAAGCCTATTTTAGGGAAGCGGATTCGGTCAATAACCATGCATAACTCAATCACCATCTGCCACATCAGCGCCTCTTCTCTCTCCTGAAAAACCTTTAATTTTCCCCCCTCAACCTTTAACAGACGAATTCTGACTTTAAGCTTAGTGGTTGATTGTCTTGACTTTAAGCAACTCCTGAGATCAGGGTCCATGGTTCGAGACTTCACAGACCATAATATTTTAAAATGTACATAGTGTGATTGGTTATGATCCTTGCCTTTCTTTAAAATGGTCATGGTTCGAATCCCAGTATGTGTCTTTCCTCACCTCTTGAGATTAGAGGTATTATCATGGCTATGAATGGCCTCAAAGCTCCGGGGAAGGACGGTTTTCATGCTCTCTTTTTCCAGAAATGCTGGAATACTGTTGGACTTGACTTTTCTAACTTTGTTACTTCCTGTTTCAGAGACCCTAGTAGAATCCAGTTCATGAATGAGACTCTGCTTGCCTTAATAAAGTGGAAGCTCCCTGCTCTATGAACCAATTCCGGCCCATTAGTTTATGTAACGTGGGGTACAAGGTGGTGGCAAAAAGCTTGGCTGACAATCTGAAAAAGCTTATGCCCCATCTAGTTCATCAGAATCAATCGAGTTTTGTTCCTAAGAGACACATTACTGATAACATAATCATCTTGCAGGAAACAGTGCACTCCATGTCCAGGAAAACAGGGAAGAAAGGCTACATGCTTTTGAAAGTCGATCTCGCCAAAGCCTACGATAGGATTGACTGGAAGTTCTTGGAAGAAACCCTGTGTGCTGCACGCTTTCCTTTGGATTTTGTCAGTCTCATCATGGCTTGTGTAACCACTTCTTCCTTTCAAGTCCTCTGGAATGGTGGGGAAACAGAAAGCTTCAAACCATCAAGAGGATTAAGACAGGGATGCCCTCTCTCACCCTACCTCTTTACATTATGCATTGAACGCCTTAGCCATTGCATCCTGAAAGAGTCTAGGGAAGGGAATTGGAAACCTGTCACTTTATCCCCAAATGGTCCTGCTTTAACCCACCTGTTTTTTGCTGATGATCTGGTGCTTTTCTCCCATGCCTGCCCTAACCAAGCTGATGTTGTCCTTAACTGTCTTGGTTCTTTTTGTTTAGCTTCTGGTGAACTTGTTAGCAAAGAAAAATCTCGTGTTTTCTTTTCTAAAAATGTTAGAACCAGTACTAGGCAGTCCATTAGTGCTAAGCTTGGGATACAAGAAACTAATGATCTTGGTAGGTATCTTGGTGTCCCTGTCATACATGGGAGGATCACTAGGGACACTTACAAGTATATTCTCGATAGAATGGATAGAAGTCTAACAGCCTGGAAAGCTAGAACTCTGTCCCTTGCTGGCAGAGTTACCCTTGCAACATCTGTTTTGAATGCCATTCCCACTTTTGCTATGCAGACTACCCCTATCCCCTTGACTGTGTGTGATGTTATTGACAAGAAAATCCGTGGGTTTGTTTGGGGATCTCAAGAGGGAAAGAGAAAAGCCCACCTGGTGTCATGGGAGCAAATCTGTAAACCTAAGAAACTGGGTGGATTAGGGCTCAGATCTGCTCGCAGCATGAACAAAGCCTATATGATCAAACTTGCTTGGAATATTGTTAACAATGAGAATGATCTTTGGGTTAGAGTGCTCCAAGGGAAATACTATAAGCATAAGAATGGGGAAATTACTTCAATGAAAAAAACTAACCATTCTAGCCTGTGGAAAGCCATCGTTCAGGCAATGCCCCTCATGAAGGAAGCTTCCTGTTGGAGCATCCGCAATGGAGAGACAACCAGTTTTTGGAAGCATCCTTGGCTTGATTGTGGGGTCATTCTGGAGGACTACCTGCTGCAGGAAATCACTGTCGAGGAAAGAGATTCACCAGTCTCTAATTGGGTCAACCAAACAGGTGAGTGGAACTGGGAGAGACTGAGAACCCTCCTTCCTGATGAGCTGCTATCTCTGATTGCAGGTGCAGAACCGCCCAAACCTGAGCTCGGAGAGGATAAAATGTCATGGGGGCTTGAACGCGATGGACGGTTCCGAATGAAGTCTGCCTATGCTCTTGCTGCCAGCCTTGAGGAAGAAGAAGAGATGCAACAGTGGAAAAAGCTTTGGAAGTGGGGAGGGCCAAACAGAATAAAGCACTTCTTTTGGCTGGTCCTCCATGATAGGCTGTTCACCAACAGAGAAAGAGTTAGAAGAGGCATCTCAAACAATGCTAACTGCAACCTTTGCAGGGAAAAAGAAGAAACAACGGAACACATCTTGAGAAGCTGTGAAAAAGCTAAAGCTACCTGGGGAAAATTCAGAGACAAGCTCACAATCGGGAATCTGAACTCTCCCTTCCACCAATGGCTTCTGGACAACATCAGCAACGAGGAGAAAGGATTGGAGTTTGGGGTTATCTGCTGGAATCTCTGGAAACAACGCAATGAAGAGGTGATGGACGGAAAGCAATTCCAGGAGCAAGGATTGTACTGTCGTATCAAAGCGTGGTTCAACATCATTAAGAACGCTCAAAAATGGATGCAAAGTGTCACCAACACTGCTGAAAGAAATGCCCAACAATGTCAGATTGCTTGGGAACCACCGCCTGAAGGGTGGATTCAAATCCAGACTGATGGTTCAGTCTTGCCACAATCAGGGACTGCTGCTGCAGGTGGACTGCTAAGGGATCACCTAGGGAGATGTAAGATGGCCTTTGTGTGCAACCTTGGAAAATGCTCCATTACGAGTGCAGAACTCAAAGGAGCAGTGACGGGACTCAGACTTGCGTGGGATAAAGGCTACAGAAGAGTTCACCTCAACTTGGACTCTACTACTGCAGTTGGCATCATTATGAACAATGCAGAAGATGATCATCGCCACGGCATCATTGCTAAGGAGTTTAATTACTTGCTTAGTTTGGATTGGGATGTTAGGGTCTCCCATGTGTATAGAGAGGCAAATTTTGCTGCTGATTTTCTTGCAGCTAAGGGCCATCTTGTTGATTTTGGTACACATCTTTTCAATGTGTACGACCCTGAACTTGAACATTGGCTTTTGCACGACATCATGGGAATTCCCCATGATCGTCTGATTATTAATACGATTTAGACGCTAGTCGTCGACCTTCTACCAAAAAAAAAGACGAATTCTGACTCGTTTTAAGTCAAAATTTAATTTTTTGTGCACAGTTATATCAGATTAATTGTGCTCTTCAAAATGATATCCGCTTTGATATATTTTTGGAACAAAAAAAATTGAGTCATTTTTTACCAGTCTATACCATATGGTATTGATTGGTATTGAATAAGAGCATACCTATGGTTTGAAAAGCGTACCATGGTGGTATGAACAAACCAAGACTGTAGGATGGTTGAATACATGATAGTAGAAGTATATTAACTGTCATATATAAGTTTTAACATTGTGTACCACAAGATACCACCTCGTATTGTGTGGTATTGTTTGGTCATATATTTTGTTCACCCGGAAATTTCTAGATCTAGTAGATCATGATGAACTCGTTTCTTCTGTGCAAAATTTTTCAAAAATGAATTAAAAACGAAAAAGATGTCATGATATGCAGTTGGTACCGAGAGGCAAGAAATTTTTTTTCTTAAAAAAATATTGAAAATGGATCTCGTTTTTAGAGCACAACGAACCCGTTCCATCTGTGCAAAAAAAATTGAAATCCGAGTTAAAACGAAGAAGATATGAGTCGATTAAAAAAAAGGGAAAATAAAAATGGCCTTTAATTCTCCATCTTTAGATATGAATTTTCTGAATAAAGCGTCAAGATTTAGTTATGCACCGTATCTTGAGCCCTATTTCAGAGGGTTAGGCGGAGACAATTTGTGTAGCCCATTTGAACTTTTACTGTCTTTGAAACTTAGCCATGTGATTTGGCAAAAACATCCCTCCGTAGATTCCTCAATGTTTCGCACGGACTGACGTGGCAGTTTCCACGTATGCATCGTGTATATATATACTAGCACAAGACTCGGCCCGTTGGCCGGAAGAATTTTGTCGAGGAATATGCTATACAATAATGGATATAGTAGATGGTTTGAAATGTATGAAATTATTGTTTTCTATATTAGTTATGCACATAATATTTTTGAAAAGTGATCTAACTATGCATAATGTGGTTTAGGATAGGGTTAGTAACCAATGATTACTGACCTATGAGTAACTAAATATGGACATTTAGATCTAAGTGAATCCAGAAAATTCAGATCTAAGGGTTGTCAATTAAAGACATTTTATTTTCCCTAGTTTTCTTAATTGGCTCTTATCTTCTTCGTTCTAACTCGGATTTCAATTTTTTTTGCACAGATAAAACGAGTTCGCTGTGCTCTACAAAATGAGATCAATTTTCAATATATTTCGAGAAACTTTTTTTCTACCTACATACCATATGGTAACTTCTTCGTTTTAAGTCTTTTTTGAAAACGTTTGCTCAGAAGGAACGAGTTCATCATGATCTATTGGATCTATAAATTTCTGGGTGAAAAAAATATTGGATAAAAAATTATCATACTTTACCACTATGGTATGTGGGTGGTAACTTGTAGTAAACAATGATGAAAGTCGTAAATGACAGTTAGTATATTCCTACTATCATGTATTCAACCTTCTTACCATATTGGTATGTTCGTACCATCATGGTACGCTTTCTTATCATATGGTATTAAATAAGAGCATACCTTGTACTAAAAATATATCAAAGTGGATATCATTTTAAAGAGCACATTTAATCTGATTTATCTGTGCAAAAAAATTAAATTTCAATTTAAAATGAGAGAGAAATCGTCCGTTAAAGATTAAAGGGGAAAAGATAAAAGACTTTACATGAGAGAGAGGATACTGATGTCATGCTGATGTGGACAGGTTACTCATGATTACTGACCTGATCCGTTCCCGCATAATGTGTTTAGACCTCCATGAAAAGAGGAAAAAATATAATATAATCATTACATATAATTATTGAATGAAAAAAATAAATATAACTAATTTTCATTCATTACTTAATTAAACCATATAGTTAAATATGATAGTTGTTTCTCATAATACATACATAATCAACCTTTAGGATAAAAGAAAATGTCTCATAGAGTTTAGTACGTCCTTTAAGTTTTTTTTCCAATAGAGAGCATTCTTTTTTTACCACACTGTTGGTAATGATCTAAAGTTGCTTGATTTGAAATATATCGTACATGATGCGGCTAAGCTGTCACTAATAGTTAGTTGGACAATGTGTTGTGTATGGACTTCCCAAATTATTCTCAGATCGCAGACATGTCTAGCAACAATGTAGTAATTTTCATGCATCAAATATTTTTTTCATAAAATAATTCAATAAATAAAAAAATATGAAAATTATATTACATGAAATATATGTTAGTCATTAAGTTGATAAATGAGCGAGGGTATGAGTAACATACATTTATTTTAAAAAGATAGAAGTTGCAAAGTGTCTTTTTGATTGCATGAGATCGCATATTCTCATTATCCCTAACTGACTTATACTTTTCTGCAATAGATAGTTCAAAATGTGCCTTAAACCTTTTGTTTCCACCAGTGTAAAAGAATTGTCTGCACCAAAAGATTGTAAAACCATATCGAAAAAGTTGGTAGTAGAGTATTTTATACTGAAGTCATAATTTAACTATGATTCAACCGTTTCATATTGCTAAATATCACATATCGATTTAGCCTATAATGTGAAGTTTTATGGTCTAACCGCCGGTACGTACGATCTTTCAATACAAACTTTAAATAAAAAATTCCTAAAATATTGACATTATCAAATACCATTTAAATCTCAGAAATTACAATAATCGTATTAAGAAAAAAAAATCTTCCAAATGATAATATTGATTTAGGATTTTAAATTAAAATAGAAAAAATATGTCAAACATAATGTCATGTCCTAAAATAAATCAAAACTCAACAGAATAGGGTCAAGAATATTCATTAATCAAAACAGAAGGGCAATTATTTCACACTACCTTATTTTCCCCCTCTTTTAATTGTGTCATCTCACTCTCTCTTTGCCTTGCTCTTAGACCTGGCAAATTAAAACCCGACCCGAAACCGCCCAAAAACTAGAGATTTTTGTAACCCGAAATCCGAATGACCCGAACTCGATAACCCGTGATTTTTTGGGTCGGGTTGAGCGGGTTAGCGGGTCGACCCATTAGACCCGTTCCATTTTATATATATCACTCCCAAAATGATAAAATCACTCATAAATTGGTGAGATGTTTAAAAAAAATCACAAGGATTTGAATGACATGTTTGGAGTTTAAGGATAATTAAATATCATGTGTTCTTTGTAGTAGTATTACTCTTGTAATTATTTTTTTTTATGATTTGCGCAATTTGTATTTCATATCATTAGCGTGGAAGGATTTGAGAATATGTTAATTGACATGTGCTAGGTAAACTATTGTTATGCATTTGTGAAAATTTGTGTTCTTTAAGAAAATATGAAGCATGTTTGATTTTGTTTCTGAGAACGCTCATAACCCGAAATGACCTGTAACCCGATCCGAAACCGAATGGGTTGGATTAATATTTGACCCGAAATCATCCAACCAAACATGACCCGACCCGTAACCAAAGTCTCCAATCCGAAATTACCCAACCCGACCCGATTGCCAGGTCTACTTGCTCTTTGTTTTTCCATTTGTTCATTCATCTCTCTCTCTCTCTCTCTCAACTTTGTATCTCTCAACTCTCCCATTTTTCCTTCCTCTTTCTTCCCACCGCCCGGAATCGAGAGAAACCTAGAAACATCCCAATTACTTCTCCAATTTGGCGTTCGAAATGCTTCTTCTCCATTCACACTCGATAGTGTGAATCAGAGCTCTTGAAACCTGGCGAATAGGTGGTCGCTTATTCATCGACGGAGCAAAGTAGTTTAATAGCTTGTGAATAAACTAATTATTAAAAGTGATAAAAAGCAGAACTCTTTAAACCAATCGAGTGAGTGTATAGTTAGTTCATCGCTTAAAGCCTTAAACCACTGTATATATCTAAAGAATCAAAATGAATAATCAGGTTCATCTTCACTTTACATGTATTTGTCGTACAAATTCATTACACATAAAAATAGTTTTGAACCGACACCATATCAAACTAAATCTCATCTTATGATTATTGGATCCATGTCAGATTTGCAAAAGGTCTAAGGCTATTGGTAAACCGAGCTGGAAAATTAATACTAATTTAAGAATTATATATCGCTTTCAAAATGTTCAATACTCCAATTTAATATGTAATATTCAATATTCAAACAAATGATATATGAGTTTGAACTCTTCCTCAAATTTTTTAGACAAAAAAAATCTCCCCCCACACATTTACAAAGAAATACTAAATCTCTATTTATTCTTCACTTTACTTGCTTCTAAAGTTATTGTTGACATTGTTTGTTATTATTGCAAGCTGTAAAAAAGACTTTTCAGCTATGAAGTTAATCAAGAACGATTTTATAAATGAATTTTTAGTTGTATACATTGACAAATGTTTGAGTCCCAAAATAAACAATGAATGTATTTTATAAACCTTGTAGAATATGAGCCGTCACACGTTGATTTGAGAAACTACTCATTAATTCAAATTTTATATGTTATTTTTAGAATATTTTGTTTTATTTTTATCAAATGGAACATTTCTCCATAAAACATGAGTTCACCACTATAGACTGTGTGGTGCTCGCACTTACGCGTGAGCCCTTTAAGTTTAAGTTTGGTACGACCTATGAAACATTCATGCTTGTACATGGCCGGTCCATATACATTGTTTTCATGGTATGCTCTAACTGTGTCATGCTAGCTCGATCATGTGCCTAGGTATAGTTATATGCATTATAAAATTTAAGTTTCTACATATTCAGAACACCAAGATAAAAATAGTCATAAATGCATCGAGTATTCGATTTTGACTACCTGATGAAATACTACATTTGAGTAAACTACTACTCATGTCACAAATAATAATTATTCCTCTAAATCATACATAAAATATTTCAAATATCACAAATATTAAGAGTAAATTAATTATTATAAAGAGTAAAAATTGTATAATGAGGTTAATTATAACTCATTTATATGTTAATGCCTATAAATTGATCAACGCATCCGATCCAAAACTAACGAAATGAACGTCATATTAAACTCGACATCATCTCATTATTGTCGGGTCCATTCATGCCCGATTAGCAAGAGTTTAACGTTTAGCAGTTAATCAGATTAAAATTTTAGCGAACCAGACACCTATAGTTTGTACAAAAAATATTATTGTTTCGTATTAGTTCTGAAAATCCATATTAATTTACAGAACTCTACATCGTTTTTGCATATTCAATACTGCAGTTCGATATGCAATATGTTAATCAATGAAATTTGTGTTGCAATTTTAAGATTACCCGTCATTTTATAGGTTATAAAAATTATAAATCACGCATTAAATTTGGCTTTTTAGAAGATTTAATAGGCTAGCTAACTGTGAAAAGTCCTCTGCGTTTCAAATCTTTGTTTAGTGCATGTTTACAATTATGAAGATAGAACAAATTTGTTTAGTGTAATCGGTTGTGATTTTTGTGTAGCAAATAAAGTAATTTTTGTCACAAATCTACACATAATATAAAGATAAATTGGGCACTATGACGAAAAAGAGCTTCCTAAAATCACTCTCAGGCCACGAAATTTGAAATGAGACTCTCATTTTCCAATTTTATCATTATATTGTGGAGATTTGTCACAAAAAATGATTATACTCGTCACAAAGGTCCATGATTTGGTTACACTTCTATATTTTTTCTGAACTAAACAACTCATAAAATTTAATATTAATGTTTGAATCAATACTACTTGAGTTCTGATTTCAGAACTAATATCTTTCTATAAAATATAAATAACTTAAGATAAATTATAAATATAGAAGCATCATCACCAAACATATTGCTAGAGTTCAATCAAAAAAATAACAATGAATAAAATGTAACCTAGTAGGTTATAATATAGAACCATCATCACCAAACATATTGCTAGGTTATAAGGTTCAAACTCCAATGATAACATTTTTAATATATACATTTTAAATATATAAACATGAGCTGAGTGCAATGACAAAAATGACCTTCTTAGAATCACTCTCAGACTATGAAATGAGATAATTTCAACCCATGTTTTGCCTTTATGTATTTTGTAAATCGGTTTTTTTTTTTGCAAAGTCTTCTAACAAAAAATCCTACATCCTACACATCCTATAAGGAGATTCTCCTTGAAAACTCTCTCAAATAAATTTTTCTGGCCTCTGCGCACACTTCGGAAGGTCAACATAGTCTTTGTATATATTTAGCTTTTGTGCTACTTTTTTTCGTCGCTTCTTTTGCAGGTTAATAGACAAAAGCTCCACCATTTTTATATTATATGTAGGATGTTAGCATAATTAAATACATATTATATTATATTATATTATATAGTATGTTAGCATAATTAGATACATATTAAATTATATTATATTATATTATATGGGTCATACTGGTGTACATATCTCTATCTAGACCATGAATTAAATCGAGTTTTGGGTATGATACTATACCCTAACCTCTAATGGATAAACCCCAGCCCCAGATTCTCTAAACTCAAACAAGAATTTCAATTTAATAAAAAATACTAATTGACAGTTGAGATTGGCCGGAGCTCAAAAAATACTATCATCTTATTGACAAAACATGTTCTAGCACGATCTTCAAACAACCAAGTAAAAGGGACGGAATTTTGGTGCATAACCTTCTTTAATTACAGCTAACACAAAATTCAAGAGCCATAGTTAAGGGATTCTTAATTTCTCGCAAATTTAGAGGACTTTATCTCATCCATTTCAACTATGATTTTAAATGGGTTAGAAAAACCATATTAATTGAAACTTGCCAAAGAAAATTTGAAGAGAAGACTATGGTTAGTAGTTTTATAAGAATTATACAACAACATCAAAGACAATAGTAGTTAGGTAAAAATCTAACTCTACTCTTCTATGTTTTTAACTTCAAGTTCATTCATTAGGGAGAAATAAACGTACCCACTAAAACAATAAAGTTTTAAACCAAATAATGTATCTCAATGTTTGTTATTTTATAGATCCGGATTAGTGTGAATTGTATACAATATTTTTTAATCTAAATTTATTGTTCTGTATCACGAGGAAGCTAGATTTTTTAAAATGAATATTGAGAGACTATTCAAAGATAGTTACAAAGTGAAAGAACCTTTACCTCCTCATCTCATACAAACCGAGAGAAAGAAGTTAAATTTTCATATCAAGCTCACCGATTACAACATCGTGAACCCATAATTGGGTACATAGTTTTGAAGATTATGAAGAATGAAAGAAGAGCAATATCAGACAAATTTCATAACATGTATGTAAAGTGAAGTTCTTGAAAATGAAAATTTCACAATTAAAAAAGTTTTGCCATTAAATTTTTGCATTCAGTGAAATGCAAGAGAAGAAGAAATATTATTCTAATAGCAGAGGTAATGAATTCCGTGATGGAGATAATGACGTGCATGAGGTAAAATTCTACTACGGTGAAAAGATGTTTCAAATTTCCAAGCATTTTGTCATTAAAATTTGGTTTACAATGAAATGCAGGAGAAGAAGATGCTATTGATAGTGAATATAAAGTTTAATTAATGAAGATGAAGTTGTGTGGAGAAAATATTTTTCATGGCTGAGCAATCAAAAGGAAATTTGCAGTAAATTCTAACATCAAAGAGTAAATTGAACTGCATTTTGAATATTAAATTTTTTAGGAAATGGTTACTTGCATGAGTTGTTGTGTTGTTTAGTTTTGATAAGGATTTTTTCCATGAATGATCAAGGCATTTTAAAACTTATAATGTATGTTGTTTCTATACTTTTAGTAATTGAATAATTTGGATTCTTTCATATTACCGAATAAATTATTCGAATAATTACTATACAGTTAATATAATTCATCCGACCAACGGGCGGACCCAACTCTAGTTTCCTATGTAGAATTACATGTTGGACAATGTTGATATCGTGAATTATTGTAAATGTTTCGCTAACTTTACACAACAATTATACAAACAACATCTAGAAGAAATTAATTGACATTTCACATAATTATCGGTGCAAGACTACACCAACATTTCAGCATTTGTAACCAATGTTTGAAAATGGCACTACAAAGCATTTTTTGTTGTACTATATGAAGAATACAACCCATAATATTTATTGAAATCTACGAAACATAACAAGGCGAAATCCGAAACGGATAAAGCTAATAGAAACCGAAACTTTGTACCAATTTTGGTAAGGGTTAATACCCTAGTTTGGCCCGAAGTTTGGCGTAAATGACCGTTCTGGCCCCGTTTTTCAAATAAGACATTTATGGTCCACTTTTGAAACTATTAGACAAATTTGGCCCAAAATTTTCTTTGACCGTTAATATTAACCGTCAAACAATATTCCGCTAGTGACTCAGCAAAAAACAGCTGATGTGGCTGATGCATGGGCACCACATCATTAACTAACACTTTTTCTAATTTTATAATTCAATTAAATAAAACTTAAAACAAAAAAAAATCCCCTCGACAACATTTGGGAATTGGAACCATTCTTCCTATTTTCCGTCAAACATCTAACCCTAAATAGAATCTCTTCCCAGCCTCCCCACCTCCCTTTTCCGTGAGAAATCAACGACTTCCCAGCCTTCCCTGCATCTCGAGCCTTCCCAGCCTCCCCTGCCACTCGCGACATCCCTTCTCCGGCGGATAATTGACGACAACTCGGCGGTGCTCCGAATGCGTAGAATCCGTCGTTCCCGCCGCCTCAACCTCTACTTGTCTTTGTTCGTTCTCTCCCACCGTCGCGAAACGCCACAACCAGCCACAGCCACCGCTCGCCTCCCATCCGGGGGTTGGGGTTTCTGATTTCGTTGTGGTTTTTGGATTTGGGTTGGGTTTTGGAGATGGGATTTGGGATGGATTTCTGGAGATGGTATTTGAGATGGGTTGTTGCAGGTGACGGCGCCAAAAGCGACAAGGAGGAAGAAGAGGTGTTGTCGCCGGCGGAGGTGAGGAAGAAGATGGGTTTGGGAGTTTCTGGTTCAGAGGGTAGCGATAAACGGCAGGGGCAGGTTGGGGTTTGATCTGTGATGGTTGATATTGTTTTGTCGATTTTCTCTGATAACTGGAAAATCAGATGTTTGGTTTGGATTTGGGATGATAAGAGGGGATTTTTTTAATTTATTATAAAATTAAAATAATATTATTTAGTGATGTGGCATGCCATATCAGCTGTTTTTTGCTGAGTTACTAACGGAAAGTGTTTGACCGTCAATATTAACGGTCAAAGAAAATTTTGAGCCAAATTTGTCCAATAGTTTCAAAAGTAGGCCATAAATGTCTTATTTGAAAAATGGGGCCAGAATTGTCACTGACGCCAAACTTCGGGCCAAACTAGGGTATTAACCCTTTTGGTAATGGGCAAAAAGAAAACTAACCAGAAACCAACAGCAAACCCATTCTCAGGTTTCTGATTCACCATACTAGTAATTGGATCCAGGGGTGTCCCATGTCTCAGGAATCATCGAATGAAGCAAACAACAATCCTTGGGGCTGAACTGATCCGCCGAAGCCAACGACGAGATCGAAACATCATCATTGGCACTAGCCACCTCCTCAATCTTCTCCACCACCACCGCCATCGCCGGCCGGTCCTCTGGCTTTCCTGAAACACATTTCAGGGCAATGTCTAAGAGATGGAAGCCATACTGATCTCTAGCAGGGTTGGTTATCCGCCTGTCGAACACTTCGCCGGTCCATTCCTCCCTCACCATGGACCTCACCCATTTCGGTAGGTCGATTCCGCTCTTCTCCACTGTCTTTCCTGTCAGGAGCTCCAGCAGTATGATCCCGAAGCTGTACACGTCGCCCTTCTCCGACGCCTCCTTCTCAGGGGCGCTATAGCCGTTCGATGAGAACATGGTCGAGATCTTGGGGTCTCTGTACTTTGCATACCCGTATTCGCTGATCAGAGGCTCGTCGTTGTCGTCCAGCAGGATGTTTGAAGGCTTCAGGTTCCCGTGTGGTACAGGATTTTGATGATTGTATATGTAGTTTAGGCCCTTTGCAATGCCGCTTGCTATGGATAGTCTTAGCTTCCATGGGAACTCCCTCTTTCCATCAATGCTGCCTGCACATTCAACGATAGTAAACTTAATCCGATCGAAGCCTTTAATTGCCTAAATGTCTCGTATAAACGAATGCTGACAACCCGCGATACTAACATTCGAGTTACAATGCTGCCCTGCACATTCAACAATAGTTAACTTAATTGTGCACAATCAGAGCCTGTAATGGCCTCAGCGTCTCGTATAAGCGAATGCTCACAACCTGTGATACCAACATTTGAGTTACGGTTCGATAAGTTTGTGGACGGTCAAGTTGAGCGATTGGACTATGATTCATTTCTAACCTTGTTTCAGTTACTTAGGAGTTTACAATTATGCTAGGAGGGTTTTGATGACATTGTTACCGTCTAGTATGTTGGAGAGGTTTCCATTGGTCTGATACTTGTAGATCAGCAGCTTCTCCTCATGGTTAGAACTGAAAGCTATGAGAGGCAGGATGTTGGGATGCTTCAGCTTCCCGACCCGCCTCATCACCGCGCCGAATTCGTCAAACGAGACCTGCAGCTTTTTCAGCCTCTTCACGGCATAAATGGCGCAGTCGTTGAGTATCACCTTGTACAGGCTGCTGCAGATCGTCTGGCTCTGCAAGTGGGCCGCCGATTCGAGCAGCTCCCCCAAGTTGAACCTCTCCTTGTCCTCCACAAAGAACACCAGCTCCGACCTGTTATTTTCTTCTTCAGGATTCACCTGTGCAGGGCACAACTGCATTGATGGAGGACTGGTTTTCGCAGGAGACATCGATAACATCTTGATCAGCTTCTTCTCTTCCGACATTTGAAGCACCCTCTTCCTGACAAAGTAGGCCAGGAAATAGACACATATAATCACTGCAATACCTAGAGCCACTGGTAGTATCTTTTCAAGTGTTCCAGCTGAACCTTTCTGGGGTTCAGATTCAGGGCTCCCTGAATCCTCTGACGATGTTGATGTTGATGACAGTTTCATCGAATACCCGGTTCCTCGATCACCGAATGCCAAACTAATTTTGGGTAGGGATCCTGTGAAGTTGTTTCTCGAGATATCGACGATCCTGACATGATTCAGGTTTTTGAGAACCAGAGCTGCCCTGCCTCTGAACAGATTGCTGCTCAGGTTCAAGTACATGAGATTCCTACAGGAAGAGATAGAATCCGGGATATAACCATGGATGGAGTTTCTTGCCAGGCTGAGTACCTGCAAGCCTGGAAGCTTGCAGAGAGAATCGGCGTCGAATTTCCCTGACAGGTTGAGATTCTCCAGCCTGACCTCAGTCACTACTCCGTCAGAATCGCACCTGACGAAGCTGTTCTTCGTCTGATTACATGGGTGGGGGAGTGCTTCTCCATTCCAGGAGAGGTTCAGGTTGTTCTGGGGATCGACTGCCCTGACGAAACGTGCGAAATGTCCATGGGATTCGGCCGAATTTCCCTGACAAGCTGCGATCAGGATGCTTACCAACAAGCTGAGCAGAACTGCAACTTCCCTGGAGCAATGCATTTGGTTTGGAAATTGGGGATTGAGATGGGTCTTCAACTCTTTGTGTTTTTGCCCTGTTGGCGAATTTTTTTGGTGAGGTGAGGTGGAAATACACAAACAATGTTGAGGTTAAGGACAGACAGTGCATAAGCTTCTTGTTCACAAGAATACTTTCTTCCCTCGTTTTCATAGTCAAGAGCTTTTATCATCAATGGCCGTTACTTTCTATGGAGAGGGAGCATAATGAGAAGGCAAATCGTGAGTGGTTGTAGGCTCAGACGCATGTGGTGGGAGTTAAGAACTATACACTTCGGTTTATTTCAGGAAAATCGGTCAGGTGTTTTCTAGGCTTCTTGATGCTTTGATTATCTTGGCTCTTTGGGGGTATGTGGATACTCAGAGTTTTAAATGAATTTTGTACTATGAGATTTTATCAAATTTTTTTGAAATAAATATGCTTACACGTGTTAAAATTTTATCAAAATACATTAGTAACCTTTGGACCAAGTGATGATGAGTTAATAGTAGCCATTATATTCGAAGACAGAGAAAAAAATATCTAGCTATACAGGTCTAAAACAAGTGCATATCTAATTTCTTAAAAATGATGTATAATTGAATCTGGGTCGCCCTTTTTCTTCCCAACTCTTCATTTCTTAGAAGAGAACTGTCGCAATGTAGCTGTTGCAAGTTGGATGACCAAGGTGCGTTCTCAGTTCTTCGATCAATCCACTAATTGAGGTCAAATGACTTTTTTTTTTTTTTTTTGTCATAGAAATTTTGGTAGATTTACAAGGCAAGGATAAGGGTAGCCACAATAAACGGCATACTCACCTATCAGAAGACAGATAGAACAAATAAGAAAAATCGACTAACAAAGAAGGTAATCCAGGAAAGCGTAGGGCATGTTGCGCCACTAAATGGGCAGCCCGATTCGCATCTCGAGGAGTAAATTGTAAAACAACTTTTGGCAATTGGACTAGTAATGTATGAACCTCCGAATAAATTGCGCCAGCACGTGCATCTGATAAATCACCCGAAACCAGCTTGTCTCCTGTTGTTCTTGATTGACTTTTATTTTCTTGCTTGTTTGATTTCAACAAATTATGTGTATGGATCATATGAATTCTAATATATTTTACTCAAAATAAATTGCACACTTTCCAAAAACGTACTCACAATTAGGGGTTCGTTTGAATGTTGCGTATGTTAAGTTTGAATGTTGTGTATGTTAAATCGTTGTAATGTTATGAAACACTGTGATATAAATGCATGCATTGATAATATAGATGTATTTTGAAATTATATTGTTTGGTTGGTGAGATTATAATTTATGAATTGATTGTTATAAAGTTACTTTATAAGGAAATGTCATATTTGTCCTCCACTTTTAATATAAAACAAAAAGAATTATGGACATAATTGGAAAAGGTAAATGTGCTCAATCATTAAACCAACAATCACAACAATTCCAACTCTCATTTTTGTTGATTGTTGGTGGGACCCACACAAAATAATACATGCATTGTTTTGCAACTTGACACTTCCAAACGTTGTATTGTGGACAATGCATGCATTTGACAAATACAACACTAACGATCGCAACTTCCAAACGACCCCCTAGGTATACCACGTTGGTAAAACACACCACCTCTATACTTTTGGTAAAAAAACGTGAACATGTTGCCTAATGAGCATTTAAAATTATTTTGTTCCAAAGTATGAGACATGGCAAAATAGACATGACAAAATAGACATTCGTACAATACAATTGACCTAATTTTTATGTGCGGTAAATAGATAATCTAAATTGAAACAATAGGAACATGCGTATTAATACAAATGTTGAATATTATGTAAATTTTAAAATAGGTGCGTATTAATCTCAATACAAATGTTGAGGTTTGTTTAAATAGCTCAGAGACAAAACCAACCCCATAATACCATGCCATCATTGTCATAAACTCGATTTTTTTTATTGAAGTCATAAGCTCGATAGATTTTGTAGCATGGATAAATCTTGTTTTTTTTTCCATAGATAGAAGAGTAATAGATAGGGAATTACAAAAGATTAAATAAAAAATAAATAACGGAAATCAGCCAAATGCTGATTAGCCGATGCAAGAGCCGTTTTCGCCACGCAATGGGCAGCCCTGTTAGTTCTACGAGGAGAAAAAACAAAACGAATAGACGCGAATGATGCTTTCATCAGCCAAACTTCATCCAGGATTGCTCCGCCAATTTTATGCTGAGACGTGTCCTCCGTCATGCGGCGGATCACCAATTGAGAATCCCCACAAAAACAAACAGAAAAGATACCCCTAGTTAAGCACCAGTCCATCGCATCACGTAACGCTAAGAGTTCCAACACAAAATGGTCAAATAAGCCACCGTAGTATTTACCGTAGGCACAAGTGATGGAGGCGGACGGAGAGAAACCAACAAAGCCAATGCTGCCACCGACCTCCCGCCTAGTCGCCCCATCAAAACGAACGAGCAGACCACCCGGAGGACAGGATGGCGATGGAGAGGAGATAGGCGGCCGAGCTAAACGACATCCATGTGAAGATGGAGGAGAAGTGGCTGCTATCCATTCCTCCTTTTGAAGTAAAAATTGGCGGAAAAGAGGGTCATGGAGGAACTGGACCTTGTCATAGCAAGACCAGCACCGAGCCTTCCAAATCCGCCAGGCTAGGAAAACCAATTCTGCCATGGCTACCTTGCTGAGCTGCATAGAGAAGAAAATTGTATACCATGTTAAATCAGGCGTCATACCTGAGAGAAACACACGGACATGATCTTTGCCAGCTAGATTTCATATTGCACGCGCCACTCTACAATCAAACAGGCAATGAGAAATAGATTCAACCCCGTCAGAACATACAGGACAAACATTAGAGTCGCTAAGAGTTTTGCTATGTAGCACCACCAAGCATGGTAAGAAACCCCGAACAACCCTCCATAAGAAAAACTTCAGTTTAGGAGGAACAGGTAAGCTCCAAAGCAATTTCCAGAACCGAGCATCCAAATAAGGTGGAAGAGTGTTGAACAACTCAGAACGAACATCCGAGAGGAGGTGATACCCCGACTTGACAGAATACTGTCCTGTCTCTGAATAATGCCAAATATATCTGTCAGGCCTGGGAGTGAGAGGAATAGGGATAGAGAGAATCGACTGTACACTGGCAGGAGTAAAATAAAACTGAAGCAACTGTAAATTCCACTGCCGCGTCAAAGGATCGATGAGAGATGCCACATACAGACTGGGGAGATGGACCCCGGGTAGAAGGGACGGAGAGGAAGGTGGAGAAGTAGGCAAACAAGGGTCTTCAAGGATCCGGATGGCAGTGCCACACCCAACCTGCCACCGAAGCCCTTTAAGAACCAACTCTCGACCAGCTAATACACCTTGCCAAGCCCAGGATGGACGATAACTTGCTGTAGCATGGAGAAAGTCACAATGGTAGCGAGCCTTGTACATTCTAGCCAATGTAGAAGTCGGGGCCAACAGCAGCTTCCAGGCCTGTTTTGCTAGCATAGCAATATTAAAGAGATCGAAGTCCCGGAATCCAAGGCCTCCTCAAAACTTACTCACACAAATGGCTGGCCAAGAAAGCCAGTGAATACCTTTGACCTTGTCTTGGCTGGCCCACCAATACCGCGAGAGCTTGCCATTCATACGACGACAGGAGGTGGCCGGAAGGAGGAAAGAAAGCATCGCATAAACCGGAGTTGCTGATCCAACCGCTTTGATCACCACCACTTTTGCTGCCAAGGAGAGGGATTTAGACTTCCAATGTTGGATCCTTTTGGCTAATCCGGGCTTCGGCTCAGGGTTCGTGGCTATTGGGCTTCTTTGTATCCTTTATCCTTCGGCTTCAGTAAGGAACCCACTATTATGGCATTCTTGTTGGAATTAGGGATGGCAATGGGGTGGGTTTGGGGCGGGTTTGCTTAAACCATCCCCATCCCCGCTTTCAAATATCCAAACCCATACCCGCCCCATACCCATGCCGGGGAAGATTTTGCAAACCCATCCCCATACCCGTGGGTTTCGGGTACCCATGGGTAATACCCGCCCCATACATCCAACATTATAATACATAAAATTTTACATGTAAATTTTCAATTATAACATTAAAGGCACCTATTATATCATGAAGTCGGAAAAGTGACAATAATTCTTAATATGGTTCAAAGCATTTTATCCTAAAATTTCCCTTAATCCATAAAATAGAGTACTACAATGTAATCCAAATCATTATTTATTAGACTCTAATACATATACTAAGCAATAATTAACTAATATAATCTTGCTAATACGAGGGAAAAGTGAAAGAGTGAAGAGAGAGTTGAGTAAAATGAATTAGGTTTTGATTTGGGTGACCACTCAATTGCATTTCTACTAATTATTTTTTTATTTACCCTCACTATCATTGATAGATTACTATTTCATCCATGTATTTTTTATATGTGAACAAATATTCTGGTGGGGCGGGTATGGGTATGGGTATGGGGCGGGGAGGCTAAAACCATACCCGCCCCATACCCATCAAACATTTTGCGGGTTTTACACCCGTGGGCATGGGTTTGATTGCCATCCCTAGTTGGAATATGATAAAGGATACAGATACAGTGAAGCTCAAAAGCCCAACAACCGAACGAAGGACACCAATACGGGTTGTCGTTTTGAGTTGACGAAGAATTATTCCCCAGCGACCGTTTCCGCTACTCTGCTTTTCCCACACCTCCCTACACCCTTGGGCCTTGACCCTACCCGTCGTCGTCTCCTGTCAATTCCCCACCACCGATATTACGCAACGGAAAAGAGAATTCTTTCGCCGATTCCCTTCCTCCACGGTGGCTGTAGGGTTTACGGAATTCGATCAATTTTTTTTCCAGCTGAACATCAATGGCGACTTCTTCGGCGAAGGAAAATCAAATCCCGACGCTGAAGACGATCGAAGCCGCTCTGAATCTGACCGACGCGAAGAAGGAGAGCCTGAAGAAGGCTTACGACGAACTCCAAAGCCATTCTTCTCTCCTCTCGTCCTCCTCCTCCTCCGCCGCCGCGTTCTCACTCTCGTGGTCCGACCTCGACTCCCACTTTTCCACCCGCCAGACTGACCTCACTCGCCGCTTCCACCTTCTACAATCCCGCGGCCCGGATGCTGGGCGGCAGAACTGTGGTCCGATTGAGGCCGAGGCGGGGGCGGCGTCGCTTCCTGTTCAGGACCCGTCTTCCTCTTTTTCCAACCGACCTAATCTCGACGACGGTGCCCTTGTGCCCAATGATGTGAAGGAGGACATGGCTGGGGTCGACTCTGAGCCGGGCTCTGCAATGCAGGTCTCTCCGGAAGTGGGAGTGGGTGGACCCAGTCCGGCACGGCCTGAGTTGATACCCTTCTGCGAGAAGCTGGATGGGAAAGGGTTGAGGGACTACATAAGCGACCATGCGAAGGAGCGGATTGCGATTCGTGCTGAGCTTGCCAGTGCAATGAATGTGGGCAGTGACCCAGGTTCTATGGTTTTGAATGCAATGGAAGGCTTCTATCCAGCAGCTTTGGCTTCCAAAGGGGACAAAGACCCGGAATTGTATCGTCTACGGAAGAGTTGTTTGGATTTGCTTGAAGTGTTGGTTTATGTGAAGCCAAATATTAGCGATGAGGTGAGGGAGAGAGCTAAACAGTTAGCATTGGAGTGGAAAGGGAAAGTGAATTTGAGTGGGGAGAGCCCTTCTGAGGCGTTGGCGTTCTTGAGTTTGTTGGCAGCTTATGGGTTGCGGGATCAGTTTGATGTGTGTGAGCTTGTGGTTTACGTTGTTGTCATTGCAAAGTTTAAGCAAGCAATAACTCTGTGCCGAGATATTGGTCTGGGAGAGAAGACTGCAGGTAATGTTTGGTTTTTGCTAAATGTGAAATCTCTTTTTGATGGCTTTGCTTAAGTCTTACTAACTGTGAATTTATTTAGTGTTTAAAAGGTGTTGGTAGGTTCATCTATTGTAGTTAAATTCCTCAGGCTGATGACTAGATTTAGAGAGATTGTGAACTAGTTCCTCTACTGTACTCCTCTAACACTAACACTTTGTATGGCGGCCTGTATAAATTTTTAAGCAAATGATTAGGATTTTTGGTACAGCGGCCTGTGAGATATTTTGCATCTTCCTATAACCTAAGTTACAAGAACAAATTTGCTCTTAACAAAAATTAGCGAGGGTTCTGTTTATCGATGCTTCTGGGGAGGGTTTTCAATTGCTTTAGCTTTTCTTTGCTGTTTGAAATTTTCTGTTTGTGACCATATACGGAATCAGGAGGTACGAGTATCCGTGTGCACTGTCATAGCAAATGAGGATTTGGTGAAGATTCAAGGGTAGATAGCGTTGTTGGTGCTCTTAGATTACATAAATTAATTCTGCAGGTCAAATGAGTCATTGGTTTTAAGTTTGTAAAGTCACATGATGGGTTTAGCATTTGTAACCAAAACGCAGCTCCTTGGTTGAGAATGAAGCAGTAGAGCTGTTTTGAAACTCAGGCAAGGCAGTTATTAGGTTAAAATGCATATGATCAGTGACTTGAACTCTTGAAGGCTGCAATGGTCATCACATTTTGAATAACCAATTTTCTACGATGAGAGAGTATAACATAAATTACTGATATCCGAACTGAACTTTGCAGTAAAGTGGTGACGACTTATCTTCACTTTGTGTGGTCTTTTTGGAGTAGAAGAAAGAAAAATCAAGATTGCTTTCGCTGCATCCTACGAGTCCTGTGGACTGAACTGTGGTCAACTAATTCAGTGAAGGGATCCTTAAGTAGAAAGGAAGTCAGGATGTAGAAAGTTGGTTTATATATGGCAGTAGGCCTGTAGCCTGTCGGCACATTCTTAGGCCAAATACTGCTGTGCCAAATGAGCAACTCCGTTTCTTTCCTCGATAATCGATATGTCTCTCTCCCTTTTGATTGTTTAATTTTCTTGCTGTCTGTTTGTGATTAATCTGTACATTACCAGTAAAGAAACATATGGACTGTTATTCATTCTCTTCCACTATGCAGTTATTGTGCAGAAACTTATAGATGGTGGCAAACAGCCTCTGGCTGTCAAATTTATTTTTGAATTTGGATTGACTGACAAGTTTGAAGCAGTACCGCTGTTGAAAGCATATCTAACAGAGTGCAGAAAGTCCACTGACCAAGCTTGCAATGATGGAAAGATTCCTGCCAAGACAAAGGTGACCTGCAAAACCCCTTTGATATTGTCTCCCCTGTTGGTTTATTCAAATCATTTGATAGATATCCCCTTCTCACTTATCGTGCAGAATGAGGCCAAATCTAAGGAAGTTAGTGCACTGAATTCTGTACTTCAAGTCATTGATGAGCACAAGCTTCAATCTGAGTATCCACGAACGGAAATTGAAAAGCGTATTGAGACGTTGCAAAAGCAGAAGACTTATGGCAAACAGACTACACCATCTTCTGCCACCAAGCCTCAACAGCAGCAGCAGCAGCAACAGCAACAACAGCCAAAGAAGAAGAAGCAAATGCAAGCGAAGAAGCAGTTCCAAGCCAAGAAGCAGCAACACTATCAGCAGCATAACGGAAATAAGCGCCCGAGAACAAATGGACCGATGCTTCCAATGGGTGCTCCTGGATCTACCGTTCCTCCTTCATATCACCAACCTCATTTGCAGCCAACAGGTTTGTATCGAGCTGCTGGGGCCTATGGGATGGTGAATGCCTCTCCTCCCATTACCCATTATGCAGGTTCATATGCTGGACAGTATGGGGCTGGAGTGGGCTTCCCTGGGAACCCAAACCCTGCTGCTCCGTCAGCAGCACAGCAATACCCTTCTGAGTCTCAAATTGCACCAGGGTATTATGGTGGGGGGCAAGCTGCTGCTGGTTATTATGATGGATATGGTGGTTATCCACCTCAGCATCATCAAACCTACTACCCTCAATAGTTTTTTAGCTACTGACCATCACAGTATATACAACTTTTGGTGGTAGTATTTGTTTTATCTGACATACCATGCTGATCACCAGAAAAAGCAAATGCTTTCCTGGTTGCCATGCATGCACTATGATTATCTCTTGGGTCAGCAGATATTGGCATCGTTCAATATCTCTCTCTTTGCTTATTGAACTAAGATCCAAACACTTTTAGGTTTATTATTTAAGCAAGATGTAGATCTCTTAGTTAACTACTTAAAGAGGTTCAATTCACTGTCAGTAGCTGAATTGAGAGTGGTCCAATTTGGTTTTCTTGCTAGTTTAAGTTGCTTATGATATCTAGCAGATGACCTTTTACTAGCTTAATGGAAATGTGGGTCTCCGCCAATGGCATTTGCTTTCCCATATCCCCTCCTCCCCGGGCCCTGGATGTAAGATTATATAGATTTATCTCTGTCATCTTCTGGTTTTGTTGCTGCTGTTTTTTTTGTTTTTGTATCACTTTGGTCTTGCATCTGGTTTTACTAGCCTGGCATCTGCACATATTCTTTCTGAATTTCACATTGTTTTCCATTTTGGGTTCTCTTCTTCTCTTTGTCCTTTCCCTCTCTTTTCTGGATTGCTTTCCACTTTCTCGTTGAGTTGCTGTCAGCTCCATGATTGTGGGGTTTTAGCTGCACCTCATGAAAAGCCCCAAGCTCTGTTCTTCTGCCCCCACATCTACCCATTTGATAGCTGCTGCCCTGCTTTTCCTTCTTGGTCGTTTTTTTGTATTGTTCTAGCTCAGAAAACACAAGTCGTGCATGCCATTGCTGGGAATGATGATAATAATAATAATATTGTAGAAGGAAAACTGTCCTATTGTTATCATTATGAGCCAATTTGTTGGCTTCCCATTGGTATCAAGCACATGCAGGGTTCATTTCCTTACAGTACCCCCCACCCCATCTAGATGAGATTAGCAGCACATCGAGTAGTAAACCTGAAGCTCCTAGATGAGATTCTCTGATGGAAAATGCCATCTGCAATCGAATCGGAATCCGATCTCTCAGTAGATAGAATAGAGTTAATTCCGATGGAGTTGGGATGTCAATCAATCCGACGTCCCCTCAGGAGTTTGTAGAAGAGATAGAGATTAGACCCTCCCCCATATGAACAGAGCCTATTCTTTGTGATTTGGATTGGTGTTTCTTGGTAGATTAGATAGAATGGGATGTCAGACAATTGAGGGGGCGCCTAACAGGTTCTTCTTAAGCTTGAAGATATGCTTTTTCTGGGCACAGGAATAATTAGTCAATATTATCTCCAAGTGATAAAAATTAAGGTGGATAATGTTCCCTCCCTGAGTGGTGGAGTAGAGACGGATAGATGGGAAAATCATGTGAAGTTTCCCTATTGGCCGAGTTGTGAAGTTGGCCAAAAGTGAAAGCGTCATTTTTTTTGGCAAACAAAGAATTGTTTTGCCTACGAAATGCTATGAAATGGTGTTGAATACATAATTGTTGTTGTTGTTGTTGTTGTTGTTGTTGTTGCATTTTCTGGCAACTCGCATTAGGTCGTTTAGCATGTTCTGTCCAATGAAATGAAGCATCTCATTCGACTTGTGTGGTTATCTTGGAGGACATGTGTCTTTCTTTTTTCCTTTGAGTTTGTATCGTGTCATTTTGCGCCTCGCAACTTTGATATAAAGATGTATATACAGTATGTATTTGCATAGGGTTTATCGCGGTTTAGTTCATTTTGGTTTTTCTGGTTACAGCCTTCTTTAAAGATTGTCTTGCTTTGCTAATGATAATTGATTGCTAGTACATGGAAAGAATCAGATTTAATTATTCAATGCACACTCCCTGTCTTGTACTCGTGTTGCTTTCCTCTTATACGGATTATCATTATAATTAATGGAACACATCTATAAGTCTTTTTTAGGTATGAAGTTCACGTTAGTAAATGCGTCGACTACACACATGTCCGTAACATGGTCACATTTGGGAATCACTTTGACGATACGTACAGCTAGCAATTACGTAATGCGTATAGGATTGAGTTAGATCGAATCGGTGGAATCGAATTAAATCAAATTGAGTGTGCTCGCAATTTCAATTTCAATCAATCTCTTCTCTTCGCTATGAAGTATGCTTCGGCTGCGAAATCGGCCAGACATGACAGGTGGGGTTTGTGAGTTGTGTGCGTGAGTCACGTTGAGAGGATGGGTTGATAGCAAGTCAATTCGACTCACATCCGAATTCAGTGTAAGGAGCCCTGCTTCTTTGCTTTGGTTTCTTCTTCTTCTTCGACTGCCAGACCAGCAATCCCCTTCTCCCATCATTTCCATTTAATATTGTTGAATTATTTCTGATTGAATTATCTCTCTCTATATACTTTGCTTTTGTTGGTGCATAGCATATCCCTCTTGAGACCGACTAAGATCTCATCCTACACCACTCACCTTTGCCCTAATCCATTTTGTGAATGTAGAGATGTGTTTGTTACTTTGTTTCATATGGGTTAAGATTGAAGTTAAGAAGAAATACTATATACCAAATGTATCTGCTCAATAAAGATGGCAATTTGAGGAAGGAAATGAACAGAATTTTTGTTGGGATTGGTAGTATAATTTGCCTATCTACTATGCATTTTTCTTCCAAATGCGTCTGTATACTATGTTTCGCGTAAAATTTTTTCAAAATTGTTCACCTGTTGTGCTTGTTATGAAATGGAGTCATCGATTAGATTTTTCATCCAAAAGTCATTAGTCTCGGCCGAACCATTGACATGCCAATGTGACATGTCAATATGGCAATCTCTATCTCTCTCTCCCTCTCCAAAATTAAAATTATCGAACAGGAGTAAAAAACAATGAAAGAGATAGTTGAAACGTACTATATGACCATTATTATTTGTAAATGTCAGACAAGTCTATGATGCATCTATAATTTCAAGCATATCATGTGCATGCAAACAATGGATTGATCTAGTGGTAATAGCACTAGTTTTAAACCTAGAAGTCAATTTTGTAAGTGATACCTAACTAATATACAAATCTATATCACCATTACATTGGCAAAAAAGTATACAATGTGCACCACTAATATTTGTAATGATAAAAAGTAGTTTGGTAAACATTAATAAATGATTTGTAAACTTTTGCCGAAACTATGTGTAAATATTTATTTATAAAGTTTACAAATGATTTTATTGTAAATTCTATGTTAGCCATTTAGAAATAATAATAATAATAATAATAATAATGTATTTTATGCACCCAAAATTTAGAATGTACTATAAACTCAGACTGTTCAATTTACTAAATTATCATTTGCCCATATATTAAATAAAATTAAAATCCCTGACCATTTGCGGTTGAAAATGAATTCTCTTTACATTTTGATGAAAATAAATTTAATTAACCATAAAAAAAGATGAAATAATTTGATTTTTCATTCAAAATAATTTTGTTCCAACTTTAATAAAGAAGATATTTTCAATTTTGGTAAGTGATTTGGATAGAAAGTGACATATGCATTGTATAACTCATGTTCTAAAAGGACATCGAGACAAAAAGAAAAAAAAAATCATTAAAAGCCGGACCATTCTAAAAGGATTAATATGCTATTATTTTCTGAATTTTTTCTAAGGAAATAATCATAACCCGATAGTAATGATGTAAATCAGAAGAAATTCCGTTTGCTAACACTCTTGAGAGAGGTAATGTTTGAAATTGAAAACACAAATTTGTAATTTAGTCATGCAAACAAAACAACTAAACAATCAAACTGTTTGCGTACAATAATTCAAAACACATCTTAAAAAGGATAATTTAAAATAATACATGAAATTTATATTTGCATTATTGCTACATGCTGCTATGATCAGCACGTATCACCTGATTCAAATATATTCTCAATTATGAAGCTGATTATACGAAAAAGAATTATTCACCTATTTTTTTCACAATCAATAATAAAATATGGTACGTGTTCGTTATAATATTGACGTTAGGAGCTCTGCACGCTATATTAAATTAGTAATATGTATAAAAATTTGTTAATATTAGAATTTAATTAAAAATGATAATAATTAAATTTTTTTTATTTAATCGTCAAAATTCCATTTCTTATCTTAAGTCAGGGTGTTTCTTTCTTTTTTTCCTTCCCACTTCCTTTCCCAGGTTAGTCCAACGGAAAACAACGACAACAGTAAAAAGAAAAGAGAAAAAAACAAGGAAGACAAAACAACAACACTGGACAAGAAAAAGGGAAAAGAAAAATAGTAAAACGGACAGCAGAAATTCCAGATCCAAAAGTCAACACTCTTCCTTCTTCTTCTTCTTCTTCTTCTTCTTCTTCAGCTTTCTCCATTTGTACCTTTCCTCTTTGCCTTCATATTCACTTCTCTCCTCCCCAGACGCCACCGCCTCCGCCGCCGACGGTGGCGAGCTTCACCTCTTCCGCCGGCAGACACCTTCTCTTATCTCTCACTCATCTCCTTATATTATTATTGTAATTTAATTTTTTTAAAAGCTCAAATAAATTGTGATTATTTAAATCCAGAACCTCCACAGCCCAACCCGGCAAACCACCACCACTGACCGTCACGTCTTTACTTCTTCAATCTTCCTCTTGCCTGCTTCATTGGGTTTACCCTTTTACCCTTTCCTCTCTCTTTCTCACTCTCCAATTTCTTCTCTCTCCCTGCGCTTTTCCCTTTTCCTTGCATTCTTCCTTCCCCTCCTTTTGCTTTCTCTGCTCCAATGGAGACTACTGCGGCTGCTGCTGCTGCTGCTGCTTCTGACACTAATGACTTCCGCCTTCCGGCTCCACCTGCTTCTGCTTGCGATTCGGCCGATCAGAAGAGGGAGAATGGCGCTGATTCTGGCGGCGGCGGCGGTTGTGTAGGAGGAGCTAGGTATAAGCTGATGTCGCCGGCGAAGCTCCCGATCTCCAGGTCTCCTTACATCACCATCCCTCCTGGGCTCAGTCCGACTTCCTTTCTCGAGTCACCGGTCATGCTCTCCAATATTAAGGTGCGTTTTGCTGTTCCCTCGATTCGGATCGAGCGAGCTCCTTTTCTTAATTTTTTTGCTGCTCCTGCTGCTGCTGCTTCTTGTTTCGTTCTGTGCTGGTTGTTTAGCAATTGTGTTGGGTTGCTTGGGAAGTGGAGCGGAATGCTGGACTGGCGAAAGCCGTAGTTCTCTCCTTTTTTTTCTTTTTCCCGGTTAAATTTTCCAGTTATTCGGCTTGACGAAGTGAAAATGACCTTTCATGAGGAATTGTGAGATCTGTTTGGGTTGGGGGACATAGTGGACGGAGTAAGAGAGGAAAGTGGGATGGATTATACTACTGGGAAGAGAATACAGTTCCAAATCCAAACAAACACTGTGCCTCCCAGAAAAGAACGTGTAAAGCTTAAAGGATTCTCCACTCCGTTGGGTTGATTCCCCAGCTATGAAAAAGAACGATACATTATCGTTCGTTAGGCAGCTGGTTCATGGACGGGGGAATAGAGGGGGAGTCTTTTGGCAGTTTAGTTTTCTCAAGTTAGGTAAGGAATCCGTACGGCCCTGGATAACAGTTAACGAAAGTGGGTGAATTGATCCCATTAAAGGTTTCTGAGCGGAAAAAAAATAAAGGAGCTGATGCTCTTTGTTTCTCCCTGAAATGAATGCAGAACACCGGGATTCCAAAATTCTTGTTACCATATTTGTCTCTTTCTATATCGTCTTGCTTGTATTGGGTTTATGGCTTTCCAAAATTAGGGACTCTCCCATGATGGGAATGCAACTTCTCGAGTGAGATTCGGATGCTTGATGATATTTATAATAAAGGTCTGAACTTGGTGCTCCTTTGATCTAGATTCTCGTTCTTAGAATTCTTTTGGAGAATATGACTTTTGGCAGGACGAGCTTTTCTCTTCTTTTCTGTTTTTTCCATTAGTTGCCCAGTGTTGTTTTTTCACATAATGAATCTGCCCTTTAGCTGGTCCATTGTATCTGTAAGGTTAAGTGGTGTCATTGGGTTGTCAAACTGATGGCTTCCCGGTATGAGCATGAAGAATATGGCACAAGTCCTATGATGGTGAGATTTGTGTCTTCCTCATATACAAAAAGCAGGGACACTAAATATGATATGAGGGTCAAGGTTGTGAGCACAAGCTGATTTTGTTATAATGAGAACAGAATTGGTTAGAAATCGGCCATATGCTAAGAATTGTGTCTGTTCTTGGGGGTTTCTCCACTTGGGTGAGGGAATCTTTGTCGATTTGCAAGAATGAAGTCCATTGTGCTAACTTAATTTGTCTAGGTAAAGCCATAATAAATTTTGATATTATTCGTAGAGGTTCCCCATGTTAGTGCTAGCATATTTTGAATTATTGGTAGTGACTGGTGAGAATAGAATGATGTCACATGATTAGATGTGCAAGTGCAATTCCTTTTCTATTTAGTGATCAACAATACCTGTCTGATATACTGTGCTAATAATTGGAGGTTCAGCAAGTGCAAGAATTATTCTACTTGCTTGCCTCTTATTTCTGTATGTTCCACTCGTATTCAGTCAATTTGCTCCAGCTTTCTCGTTCAAAATTTATGTTCAAGTGACCTCTGAGTGGTATTGAATGGTTTAAATAAGAGAATTCCTTCTGCAGGCAGAGCCGTCCCCGACTACAGGATCTTTCATCAAGCCTCAAACAGTGCATGGCTCTTTCTTATCTAATTCCTACTCAGCAACTGCCGTTTCATCTGACACCTTTGGGGAAAGAGCATCCAGCTTCTTTGAGTTCCGGCCTCCTTCTATATCAAATATGGTACTCCCTAATTATATGTCTACTAGACTTCCACATGCACTCTTTCTTGAACTGCTTGGTGACTGTAAGGAGTCAGAATTTGAGTCAACTCAAGTTTGCTGCAACTTTAGGATGTCAAGATAGCTTGAGTGTGGAAATAGAGGCACAAGCATGAACCCTAGAAAGTGCATCAGAATGAAATCGAAGATCAAAACGAATTAAACCGAACCAAGAGATTTTATGTTGCTATGCAATGTGGTCTTTATCTGCCTGTGTCCTAATTGCATGTGGAATCATTCAGATGTTTGTGAATCATGACCTATCGTCTGATGCTGCTTTCTCCTACCTAATATACGCAGTCAATTAATCAGTTCAATGTTGGCCAAGACTGAAGCAGTGATACAAAAGGTTAAGGAATAGGATGCCATCCAAAATGTTAACCAATGTGATATCCTGGATCATTACATTTGCTCGACCAAAATGTTCCCATCACTGTACTAAATCATCCACTATTGTTTCATCATGCGACTTTTTCATATTTCTCTTGCTGTATTTCACTAGGATGCCATCCAAAATATTAACCAATGTGATATCCTGGATCATTACATTTGCTCGACCAAAATGTTCCCATCACTGTACTAAATCATCCACTATTGTTTCATCATGCGACTTTTTCATATTTCTCTTGCTGTATTTCACTAGGATGCATCACGGAAAGAATAGTTGACGACTGTTGCTTGTTTGAACTACTCTTCTGAATGATGTACTATGATTCTTTCTTTTTGATAACTGACTTGATTTCTTTTTCTTTTCTGTTTCCGGCTTGGAATTTCTAACTTACCTAATGTACAATATTTGTTCAAGACTTCTGCAGATATGAAGAATAAGATGAGGGAACAATCTGTACAACTCCAAGGCAATTCTCAGTCTCAATTCCAATCATTTTCATCATTGTCTTCACCTAAAGCGGAAATGGTAGCCTCCTCAAATGAGTTGAGTCTCCATATAGCTACTTCTGGGGCTACTGCAACTACTGAAGCTGATGATGATGAACAAAACCAGACAGGAAACCCGAGCTGTGGGCCCCAGGCCTCACATTCTGATCTTAAAGGAGGAACTGCAAGTTCAATGACATCAGAGGATGGATATAACTGGCGTAAATATGGACAGAAGCTTGTGAAAGGAAGTGAATTTCCCCGTAGTTATTACAAGTGCACACATCCCAACTGTGAAGTGAAGAAGTTATTTGAGCGCTCTCATGATGGGCAAATAACAGAGATTATTTATAAAGGCACACATGACCATCCTAAACCTCAACCTAGTCGCCGATATGCTGCTGGAGCTCTTTTGACTGTGCAAGAAGATAGATCCGATAAAATATTGTCTGGGAGGGATGGTAAGGGCAGACTTTCAAATCTCATTTACTAGCTGCTGCCATTTTTCTTGCTCTGAAAGATTTTCTCATTTGCTTCTTTTCTATATGGAAATTTGATCTTCATGTAGAAAAATTGTCTGGTGCATACAGCCAACTGTCCAACACCATGGAACCAAATGGTACTTCTGAAATGTCCCCTGTGACAGCAACAGAGGAAAATGCAGAAGGTACTGAAGATGATGACGATCCCCTTTCAAAGCGCAGGTTTGTGTCTTTTGTTCGATTGCTGGAGAAATTTTTACCAATCAATTCACCTTCTGACCTTTAAAAATATTGAAGTTGGCCATTTAATTATGTGTGTGCATGAATCAGGAAAATGGATACTGGGAGTTTTGATGTCACTCCAGTGGTTAAGCCTATCCGTGAACCACGTGTTGTTGTTCAAACTCTTAGTGAGGTCGATATACTTGATGATGGGTACAGGTGGCGCAAATATGGGCAGAAAGTTGTGAGAGGAAATCCTAATCCGAGGTACTACTTATTTTTGTTCTCATTCTAGGAAAGAGTATAACATTGATGGCTGACCTTCTGCTTTGGGGATTGATTGGTAACTCAAAAACTTTCTGAAGATTCTCAATTTTCAAAATGATAAATATGATGTTTTACGAGACATTGCATTGTGCCATGCATGTAGAAAATTTTGCAGCAATGTTTCAGTAGCATTTGTTTGGATAGAGTGAAAGCAATCAAAGTTCAGTTGCCTTGGAACTAGGGTCCTTCTACTTCAAGTAAAAGCTCTTTCTTTCTCCTTTAAGTTAGGGCCAAAAACAGAGCCTTAAGTTTAGTTAGTCCATAATATTTTCCCTTGTTCTTCCGAAGTAAAAAGTTAATAGTGATTTAATTTAATAGATCAGTTGCTTTCAGTAGAGCTACCTTACCTTCAAGTGTGAGAAAATCATTGTAGAATATAGTGTCCTTTCAAATAAAAGCAAATATGTCTTATATCTTCCCTGATGAGGCTTTTTGTCAGTGGGAATTCCTTTTGCCCCAACTATAGTAGGGCACATGGCTGTCCCTTTTTTCATCATTCAATTGAAGGCTTTGTCCGTGATTTGAAACTTTCCTTGTCTTAATGATTGGAAATTCTCCCCAAAATCATTATTACTTGTAAGATTTTTGTACGAAGTGTTTCCTCAGTAACTTGGGTTTCTGTTTGAACTTGGGATGCTAATTTGTTTACGTTATTGTTTTGGCCCATTGTTCAGGAGTTATTACAAGTGCACAAATGTGGGATGCCCGGTGAGAAAGCATGTAGAGAGGGCATCGCATGATCCAAAAGCAGTCATCACTACTTATGAAGGGAAACACAACCATGATGTACCCGCAGCTAAGAATAGCAGTAGTCATGATGCAGCAGCAGCTGCGGCTGCTATGAGCAGTAGCAGTCCATTGAGGATAATAAGATCAGACGAAAGCGACACTATCAGCCTTGATCTCGGAGTAGGAATGGGTTCTTCTGCTGCCGCCGAGAACAGGTCGACTGTCCACCACCACCAACAGCATTTCCACTCTGAACATGGGCAACAGACCGGCGGGCCCAGTTTCAGCAAAGCTGCAAATTATTATGGTGCCATGACCCAATATGCTTCAACTAGGCAACCTCCAAGCGAGGCTCGTAGCTCATCTTACCCCTACCCACCAAATATGGAAAGAATACTCACCGGTCCTTAGAATCTTCTGTTCCCGGTGAAGCCAGCACAATAAGAAAATTTCCCCTCCGGCTGGTGAAATCGAAGCAGCTGGTCGTGAATCCAGAATCGAAAGGATTTCCCTAGTCGGTGTAAACCATGCTGGTATGGTAAGCATTGCTATTACAGAGCTGATCATCATTAGAGCTTGTGCTTTTCATCAACTGTTCTTTCTGTCAGCTTTCCTGGGTAGTGGCTCACATAGCTTCTGGACTGAAAAGTAACGGAAGTACTACTGGTACAGGGTTGCTCGGTTTTTGATTCGAGTCGGGGAATCTGCTGGTGGCTTGGAAGGGACTGGCTCAAAACACAGCACATCCTTGGACGTGAGATGGTCTGCGATTGGGTTGACAAAGTTGTAATGTAATGAAGCAGCGCTGTATGTATATGGCCTTTTTATTGTTGTGATGTATACATATACTATACTCAAATAGTTTTACTCAAATGGGAAAGGACCATCTCGATTCTCATTAGGGACTCTTATTTTGTTACCCACAACTGGGAGAAAGATAGTAGTGCTCCATCTCTTCAACTCTAAGCTACGTCTAAAGCTAATTACGATTTCCAGCTGCTACCTAACTTTTTTTTTTTTGGTGTGTGATGTCGTTGAATCCCACTTTCTTTGTTGGGTTGGGTGGTGGCAATTGGGAAATGTTGGTGTTCAGTTCCTCCTGTTTCTCTATCTCCTTTTTGCCTCCGAACAGATATATTATTTAGTGTTTTCTGGATGAACAATTCTAATGGCACGACCACTCAACCATTGCCTCATTCGTGTTAATTAAATGTGTTTAGTACATATGATATGAAACAAATGAAAAATACATGCCACAACTTTTAAGGGGGAAAAACAACTTAGTAAAGTGGATGCAAAAACGCCCCAACTGAACTAGAAGGGTTACTGAGTGGTCTGGCATTGGCCAATTCCTTGCATTAAATGCAGAATATATAAGCATACAAGCAGAGCTTTTGTCGTAGTCTTATCAGGGTACTGAAACCATTGATAAACCATCATGCAGCCACGTTCTCCCTCATTTCTCCACCATCTCATCTTAAACTCTCTTCCTCCCTACATTCATATTCAAACCCACAGAGCTGCAAAATTCATCACTGTAAACCATGCAGGCTCTCTGGACGTCGCTACTATACTGCAAGCAAAGCTGTCGGGGAAAGATAGCTGATGTTTGTGGCCATCACGACCGCCGCCACTATGAGCATGCTCAGGACTCCAGAACCAGGAGCTGCAGCTGCAGTCCTCCACCTAGTTATCGACGGTCCCATAAGATAAGAACACAGTTTGTTGGTGAGTGCTGAAACCTCTGTTGGTAATTGGTATCCACATTTGGTCAGAAGATCATCAAAATGAATCTTGTAGCAGTTTCTTATTTCTTTGTACAGGCTACATTGTTTGATTGTTTTGTTGCAAATTGTTGAGGCGTAGAGGTGAGCATTGGAGACCCTGCGAGGAACGTCGCCGAGATGATCTTCCAAAGGGCATCATCATCTCTGAATCCCACGAATTCTGCAACAAGGAAGATAAGAAAGGTGTTGAGGGTGAACAACTCTGCTGAAATCGTGGAAAGGTTCGAGAGGTACAGAGAGAAGGTGAAGAAGATTGCCTGCAGAGAGGAGCTCAGAGGATATCCAAGGAGCAGTGTGGATGGGGATGAGGTTCTGAGATTCTTCGGCACCACCATTTCCTGCTGCAATCAACAACACTACTCTGCTGCTGCTGCTGCTACTGAAGCCAGTGAGCTGTGCAGAAACAAGAACTGTGGAGTCTGCAGAGCGATTCGGTGTAGTTTCAATACAGAACACCACAGGAAGAACAGTGGTATTCGACTCAGCACAAGAAGTGATGAACTGACTGATGAGCATTGTGTGACCGGGCTGTCGAAGGTGGTGGTGGGAGCTGATCAAGAAAGAGCAGTGGTACTCTGCAGGGCAATTGCAGGGGCTACTACTACAGATGCTAGCAAAGTTAATAATGGAAGAAATATTCATAAGAGTGATCCAAACTCAAACTCGGAATCTTTGGTTGTAACAAATCCTGGCGCAGTACTTCCCTGCTTTGTCATAGTATTCACATGACACAAAGATTGCATTCACAAGATAATTGGCAGTTTCTATGATAAACCAAATCTCATCAGCCACCAGGTAACTGCATGCTGAAATTCCAAATTAAAGTTGGAGCAGAAAGTAAAAGCACAGAGACATTACAGTTGGGAATATATTACTAGAGAGGTGGGGATGTTCTTTTACTGGATAAATAAACTGTAACCAAAATAAACTGCTACATTATGAGCTACAAGCAAACATTGGTTTTGAAGCGCCCTTAGACAAACATTTTTCTAGTTTGTTTCATCACCTCAAAGAGTTTCCATCTAAACATTATGAACGAAATCAGCATTAATTATCATTGCTAGGTTTTATTGATCGATCACCTCCACGCGCAAGAAGAAACCAAGTGGCGGTCCATCCAGCCAAGATAAAGAGCTCCATCTTTCTCCTCTAGAGTATACTTGCTGGAGTATTTTCCCAGCAGAGCTTTGATTGCGCCATTCACGTAACTACTAAGCGGATACGGTTTAAACCCCGCCATTGCAAACCGTGATCTCCATTTCCCAAGAAGCTCATGACGTTCAACCCTTTCAACTCCCTCACAAGCTATGATGTTGACCACCTCCCTTGCTAGGCAATGCTGCTCAACATTAATCCTCTCCCTATGCTCCCTTGGCAGAGCTACGTCAATCGACTCAAATATAGCTGAGTAGTAGTTTAGTGTCTCCACAAATCGGGCAAAAAAGGGTGCAGTGTTGGTGTTTGATTCCTGCTCAACAAGAGTTACCACCTTAGGATACAATCCTTTAACCATCCTCAGCAATCTGTCACGATGATTTTGTGTCCCCACACTTTCATCCGGCATGTGGTGAAGCACCAATGCAAAGTTGACAGCGATTGCTTCGCCCGGTTGAATCTTGAGATTCTCAACTTGAATCTCAGAAGCTGGTATTCCAACAGCACGGAACTCGAATGGCACTTTAAACTGCTGTGCAAGCATTTTCAGCCTTCCACCAACTATTTCAAGCCCCCCTCCTCGTGCATAAGCAGATGTTGAATCATCAATCCCGGTAATTCGAATGTGTGGAGGCCCACCAGGACGATCAGCAAGAGCCTTGATTAAGGTGATCCACTGTGTGCCCTGTGAAATTTGGAAATCAATGATGTGGATTCGGTTTTCTTCCTTGATTGCCTCGGCTATCGCTCCATTTGCTGACATGTATCCAAACTTGAAGTATGGGCATATCTCATAGAGCACGTGCATGTATGAGAGAAGCTCCATGCTGGCAGGTAGTACAGGTTCCTTGCATCTCAAGGCATTATAGATGGCACTTCCAGAGGATGCCAACCTTGCAACAAGACCCTCAACAGCATATGCCCCCAGGCGTTGAATCGGCTCACCAGAAACCGAGACCAGTCCACGCAGCTCGGCAATTAACCAGTCCACTGTGAACATATCGCCATCTTCAAGAAACCGAGCACAAATGCAAAGGCCTTCCATTAGATCTCCTCTAGAAATTACTTCACCCAGAAACTTCCACTTCTCTGTCTCGGTTGAGATTTGGCTGTTGCCTCCAGCTGGCAGTATGCCATTATTGCATGAGTTGAGAACATCTAAATCAGGCCCCAGCATGGCTGTTTCCAATTCCCTTAGCTTGTGGGTGACATAAGACTCGCTTGTTGGTGAGCCACTAGTCTGGTCAGGGGAATCGTGAACATCAGATGGATATGATAGAGAGTTCTGTTGGGAAACGCCACTCTCATTAGTGGAGAAACTGGCTGTAGTAGATGGTGAATTGCGAGCAGCACATGACCCACCAGTTCCAGAAGATGATTCTAGGGTGCAGTGCTGCTCAAAAGTGTCGGCTGAGAGATGCAAGCCCTGGATGCTCACATCATTCGAACATTGATAGTGAGGCACATTCTGGATGCATGACCAGCAATATGACTCCTTATCTCCCAGAGGCTGGTTAAAGAACAAGCGAGACCCATCAGGGATTGCGTTCTCCTGAGATGCTTGCATTGTTGTGGATTCAGATTAGATTGCCGCAAACTTCTGTTTGGCATAAATGATATCAACCTTGCTTAATCTGCAAAATCAGCAAACGAAATGATAATGTTAGTTAGTTAGTTTTTCATGTACAGACAGCATACAAACACAGTCTATTCGTCGACTACGGCCTAAAAACCCTAAAAAGTATCTTCTAGTTGGGAAATGCCTGTGATTCCAATAAGAATGCCCAAACTTTAAACATTTTAACTTGGTTAGGCAAGAAATGAAAATGGGGGGTAGTTGCTATCACTCTGTCAGATGATCTGTATCGTGCTTAAGAATCTTGCAACTTTTAAATGACAGAATCTATGAAAAAAAGGACCCAAAAAAAAAAAGGAAGATTGATGAAATGACAACTACCAGGAAACAGCAGATGTATAGAACATGATGTTAACCGATAACCACCACCCACTACTCTCTGCACCTAACCTGGAAGGTACCAAAGGGTCTGAAGAACCTTACAACTCAGCCCCCATATTCCTTAACTAACACAATACATCCAGGATGCAAACAAAATTATGTCCTCAAGCCAATCCTTTTCAGACAATAAAACTCAGCTTCCATATAATCGAACTAAATCAATGTTTTCAAAACCGAAAAATCATAGCATATGATAACCACTTTCAGATCAAAAAGTGAAGGGGGCAGAAGATTATCTTCTCCATCCAGAAGGTTGCCCAACTGGGCCTTATGAACAAAAAGTTCACTTTTTTGTGTTGATTATTATGTGCTCATAGTCCTGGTATAACTTACCATGGGGACCAAATCAAACCAATCAAATAGCAAGCCTCAATAACATAGAGCTAACAGTTCCTGGTGAGAAAGAAACACCTCACATATTTAGCTCCCGCCATGGAGAACAGCTTCCTTCTAACACCAGGAAACTACAGCAATCGCCACCACCGACCACTTCAACCAACTCCCAAGAAAATTTTTTGCCACAAGAACAGAAGATTTACTTCACCCACAATCTCAACTCAAAGGTACTGAGATTTCCGTGGAAACTCCCAAAAAGGCGAAAATTTGTCAAGAACAGAAAAGAAAGAAAGAGCATCCCACTCTACCGCATCACATCAAAGCAAAAATCAGCAGTAAAAAATGGAACATGGAGAGAGACAGAGAGAGAGAGAAGCAGAACCCATGAGTGAATTTCACCAAAGGAGATGGAAAGTTGTAATCTTTTTAAAGCTCAAAACTTTCTCACATACCTGGGGATTAGGTTTGCACTTTTGTTGTGTCCTACACTTGAACTTGCCCCCAGCTATGGGTTTTCATTTCACAGTCGCAAATGAAGTTCTGGAGCAAGTCGAAGGGTCCACTTCTCTACTCAACTCTCTACTCCCTACCGAAAGAATATCAACGGATCAGCATCTAGACGGTCTTTTATAGCACCATCTTTCCTATCACTTATTTGACCTCATTCATCCCTTGCAATTACATCCATGCCACCATGACTACCAAGAAAACTGAAAAGAGTAATAAATAAGCGGAGACCAAAAAGATCTTCTCATACTTCAAAATTTATCCTGTCGTTTGTTCAAAAACATAATATTTTCTCACAAAAAAAAAAACATAATATTTCCCCCATAAATAGATGCAAAATCATATCCCAACTTTCACTCATAACCAAGGTTGTCAACCCGCGGGTCGACCCACTTTAACCCTGACCCGGTGAGAAAAACGGGTCGCACGCACCCGTCGGGCCGATCGCTACAAGGTACCGGGTTGGAGGTCAAATTGTGTCATTTTTTTCATTGGTTTGCGAAATGTGCCTATTTTCCAATTTTTCTTTTTGCCTAGCTCAATTTTTTTGAATGCTAAGTTGAACATTTGAGTATTTATGTTATATAAGTGTGTGTGAATTTTCACTATATGTTGGATCTATATACGATATGTTATTTTGGTGTAATATTATATGTTATAACTCATATGTTAGATAAGATTTGATATAATTTATGAGGATAAGTACAATATAATGACTTTTTCCATATTTCCGGGCCAAACCGGGCTAAAACGGTTGACCCATTAACCCTTGATCCACTAACTCGACCGGGTCCGGGTCAACCCGCGGGTTAACAACCTTGCTCATAACTAATTATGACTTGGAAGTGGAACTATCCTGGAAATAATACCAGGTTTATACACTCCAGCATAAAATATAATTTACCAATCAAATTGGAAATTTCAAGCAATGGTATTTCTCTCATAGAAAGATTCAAAGATATAATCTCAAGTTACAAACTAAATCATGCATTTTACTAAATATTATCATAACATTTCTTGATTGAGGAATAACAATGGTTTTAACAAAGTAAACTCGCAACTAGTTTAATGAATATCCCGTATGGAAGAAATAACTCTATCATAAGTAAATTAATCAAACTGAAATTCGACATGGATATACTTTCGTTAGTTTGTGTACTTCATGCATAAATGAATTGTGATTTGTCGACTGAATGGATATACCAAGAAAAAAAAAGGAGAAATGTGGTTTTTTATGATCCTCACTAAATGAAAGCTTAGCCAACTAGCAAATTTAATAATTATAAGTACAAAATATTTGTTCTATTCTGCATAGATTCATCTATTTCCATCTTCACCACCCCGTCACAACTAAAGACTAAGATCGTGTTGATAAAAGATCATAATAAAAGTGGGTAGCTTGCATTGAAAACAAGTGACTACATATATGTTAGACAAAATATTACATATATGAGAGCATTGAATCTTGGGATAAAATATTGGTGCAAATCTTATAGGTGGTTTGCAACATGCAAGCTAAGAGTATTTTTGGTATTGAAACAATTACTCGTATTATTTACACTTATGAATTAAAAAATTACATCAATTACATTTTATTTAAAAATTAAAATTCTTGTTAATTACATGCCTCTTTTAACTTTCTTCTTTATGCATTTCGCAGAGCTATCTTCCCATTTCAAAGTTAGAGTCCTTCTAAGGGAACTTTATTAGTCATTTTCGTCCTTTGGGTTAGTTTCGTGTCATTTTGCTTCTGGAAATTTTCTTAGAGCTGCTCACTTAGTGACCAAATAGTCTCTTTCATTGAAAGTACATTTGTATACGGACTATCGTTTTTTATTATTGTCGATGTTGTAAATTTGTTGTTCGGTCATGCCTTGTGGACTTATTTTGGATTTAAAAAAATCTTGATTGTCAATTTAGAAATAAACAGAAAGAGAGAAAGAGAAGGGAATATAAGACGAATAAGTAGGCTGTAATGTAGCAAACCCTCAAAATTATTTGCAAGCTACCCTAATTACTTTGGCTCAGAAACGAACGATTGTTCTAATAATTTTATTAACAAGGGTTTGATACGATAGGAAGTGGAGTATAAGTATGAGTATCTTCCGAGTAAAGGTGTTAACTTTATTATTAATTAAAAGGAAAGAGAGAACGAAACTAGTTGAGAGCCCAAGTTAATAATTTGCAATGTAATTTTATATTGTTTAATCTAATTGAATGGGGAATGACTTTGAAAAAATTAAAAGAAGTTAATTAAGTAAAATAATTGTGGGCAAAATAAAGGAAATTTGCCAATTTGGTGATGGGATAATGGGAAGAAGAAGTGGATTAATTTGGAGGATTTTCATTTTGCAAAATGTTTGTTTTGGGCTTTTGGGCCCGGGTTAAGGTGGGGAGAAACCATAGCCGCAACCCGCAAACGATGTGTTAAGGACCCACGCGGTTTCAGCCTTGCGTTTGTTTTGTTGTGCACCCAGTCAGTCTCCTCCCTCAAATCTTTTCAAGTTGGACTTCTTGTAGTCGTCTCGGTGGAGATTTTTTTAGTATGGATTTTCTGGCCAAAGTCTCAGTCTAAGACATTTTGTTCAAATATATTATTTGTAAATGAAAATTAGTTGTTTGGTTTTGATAATTGTTTGGTTGAATAGTTATACAATGCATTGTTTTTTTGAATTTCCTGCACAAATAATACATGCATTTTTTTGTTGACGTGATGAAAACTATCACTCAAAATGAGTGATAGTAATATATCTACTAAAACTTGAGATTGTTGAGTCCCTTTTTGTTTTAATTATACTCCTAGTTATATATATATATATATGGTGGCGTATTCGGTGCACCCACCTCATAATTGTCATTTTGAGCATGCGATTCATGTCAAAACGGTATCAATTGTTGCTTATGATATTATGAATAAGAAGCACATGAATTTGAAAAAAATTCATTCAAAATTTACATTAATTCGAAGGATTTAGGATTTAGTGATTTAGGGTTAGGGTTTAGGTTTACAATTTGGGATTTTGGGTTGGGATTCAAAATTGAAGGTTAAGGGGTTAGGGTAGTACATTGATTTGTTATGATTCTATGTTATATCATCGTATTAGATTGAGAGTATTAATTAAAGTTCAAAATTTGATGTATTATGGACACTTTTAGAGTTGGGTGCACTGAGTGCACCCAAAAAAGTGAGTGCACCAAAGTAGCCACCATATATATATATAACATAGAATCCCAACTTCGGTGCACTCACTTTTTTGGGTGCATTCAGTGCACCCACCTCTAAAAGTGGTCATAATACATTAAATTTTGAAATTTAATGGGTTGTATTTGTCTAATATGATGATATAACATAGTATCCCAACTAATCATCCCATTACCCTAACCTATTAACCTTCAATTTTGTATCTCAACCCAAGATCCCAAATTGTAAACCCTAACCCTAACCCTAAATTCCTAAACCCTGAATCATTCAAATTATAGTGAATCCTGAATGATTTTTGTACAAATTCATGTGGTTCTTGTTCATCATACCACAAGTGATGATTGACATCGTTTTCACATGAATCGCTTGCTCAGAATGACGATTATGAGGCGGGTGCATTGAATGCACCCAATAAAGTGAGTGCACCGAAGACATAACCATATATATATATATATATATATATACTTTCTAATAAAAGTAAAGGCAAAATTCATCTTTCCCACAAAAAGTAATATAACTTGTTGAATACTAAAAGAACTATCACCAAAACCAAAAAACGCAAAGTACATTACATTATTTTTCTTAATTGCATGTGTGTTACAATGTACGAATTGATCACAATTCATTGATTTAAGTATCACCAAAACCAAACGACTCCTAAAATGCTACATTTGGCTGATGAGATCCTCCCATTGTTATTTCGAAATTTCTCATTCTTTTTTCACATTTCTTCCAATATTGGTTTTGGAGGATCAATCAATGTCAATAGGTCGAGTCAGATCTTATACTATTTTCTTACATGACCTCTCATATACGACCGACCAATAAGGTGTGTCGGAAGGCACTTCAACATAGGGCCTCCGAATATTAGAGGGCCTACACTGTAAGTTTGTTAGTTGATTCAATCCTATATTATACTAGTTTTTTACCCGGCCGGTTGGCCGGAAAATTTCATTTTATCATTTATATAAATTAATTTATCTACATGTATAAAATCTTTTTAATCTTCTAACTTTTTTATGCTCACGCTTCATAAGTGAGTATGCTTTATGTTCATATTAAAAATTCTCAATATTTAGCACACTCACCTATGATCCTCATAGGTTTCGATTCTCTAATAATAAATCATATTTTAAAGGTTTATCCTGTCACATTTAGAATAGTATACAAAAGTTTGTCAACCAAGCCATTCAAATTTCTAATCTTATAAAACATCTAAAATTTCGTGATTCTCGAGTGAGGACAAACTCTCAAACAATTATTAAGAGTCCATATTATTGGATAAAGATACTTTATTACTTGATAAATTGTGTTTATCCAAGTGAAACTTGACACATACCGTACCTCTTATTATGATCAACTTATCTAATCTTGACACATGTTTATGTGAATGTTCATTTAGTCTCTGCAGAGGATCTTATGTCAAAATTTGTCTATCAAGACACTCAAATTTAGTATCTTATACAATATATTAATCAAATCTTTCAAACTTTTAAAATTGTCAACCATACCTTTCAAAATACAAAGTATTAGCCAAACGTTAACTCCCCATTAGCATTTTTGTTAGTAATATTGACTCAACAACATGATGATGAGTTGGAGGAGACACGTGACAATCAATATTCAAAATTTTAGTATTTTAATTAAGAGAATATTTACAAAATTATTAAAGATAACAGAGAAATTATTAATATTTTGACGCGATACAAAATATTTCATTAAATTTTGAAAATTCTGAAAGGTATAGCTTTTAAATTTTATTTACTCAATATATACCAATTGCTAATTCTTGAAATTTGTACTAACCCTCAGCACATGGAGTCACATACTCACAACCATGCAACCAAATGACTTATTAGAATTGCCTTGATCTCATGCTTATAAAGATTCTTCATTTTTTACCTAATAGCTCGGTTTAGAGTCTTCTAACTATAAAGGCTTGTAATGTAGAAGACATTCAACTATTAAATGAAAATTGTCAACCCATGTTTGATTAGTGATTGATGAAACATAATGTTTATCGTACATCGTCAACAAAGATTTCTCTAACATTCACACGTGCCATATAATACTTGTACATCATTAAGTTTCTATCTAGAACTTTTACTATATAATACTTGTTTTATTTTATAGATATATTAATTAGAAATAAGAGTAAGGATGGAAATGGGTCGGGTTTGCCTAAACCATCCTCATTCTCATTCTCATTTTCAAATACCTAAACTCATACCTGCCGCATACCCATATGGTGGAAGGTTTTACAAACTCATCTACATACCCACGGTTTTCGGATACCCATGGGTAATACCCGCTCGCCCCATTACTCACCAGAAAAAAATATTAAAATTTTTTTGGTACTACCTGCCCAAAAGTATGGAACTGATACATAAGTGGATGAAATTACGATTTGGTTGCCATCAATTATATTTTAAAACTTTGTTTTTCTTTTAATTGCCCTTCCTTCTATTGACAAATTACAATAGACTCGTTATTTTTTTGCATATAACAAATGATCCTCGGCGGGGCGGGTTTGGGTATGGGAATGGTGCGGGGGATTTCAAAATCATATTCGCCCATCTCCATGAAAATTTTTGCATGTTATACCCATACCCAATCAATGAGAAGATTCCCCGCATTGACTGGGTCGGAGGCGGTTGTGCACCCACGGCCATGGATTTGATTGTCATCTCTAAATAAGAGAGTGTTTAATAGCCAAAAATATAAAATAACATAGTTCGTTTATGAAAGTTGATTGATTTTCTAACAATTATTTTTTTTATTTCCATCATTATATTTTGTTTAATGGATGAAAATATTATTGTTTATGTGTGTATTTGTCTAAAATTAGTAGAAATTTTGCTTATAAAATTTAATAAGATATTTTTTGTTTAAACAAATGTGATATACCACTCTACAAACATTAGCCTTTTTCTACAAATATAGATATAATACAAAAAAATAATTATTGAATAAAAGAAAACACCATTAAAAGAAGAGAGAGATAACTCCATAAATAACTCATTAACTAACTTTTTTGCTTGTAAAAAATTGTCCACCATGGCAACTTGTGAATTCTCCAAGTGCTTATGTGGCAAGAAGTTGTTTTTGAACAACCATAATATATAGTAAGATAAGATAAGAAGATAAGATAAGATAAGATAAGATAAGATAAGATTATCAAATTATGGTTTATGATTAATTGTTTATTTATTTTTATTTTTTGGTAGAAAGTGGGATGCTAAAAGGGCGCCCCTGCCTGATACTTAAATTAAACGGGTTTGGGAAATACCCAAAACATCATACAAAATCCAATAGGTCAGACCCGAGTCTGAACTCTCAAAGACATGATAACCTATGCTCACAGAGTGACCTGTATTAGCAAGGAAATCGGCCACCTTGTTCCCTTCTCTGTAAATATGGGAAATTCTGACTTCCCAGTTTCGCTGTATCAGACCTTGAAATTGCAAAACCAGGTTACGGTACCTGTGCTCAGTATGATCATGGGATGATAGGATGTTGATGGCTGTGGTGGAATCCAACTGCAGTAAGACTTTCCTGTATCCTTTCTCCCACGCCATCTGCAGACCTCGAATGGCCGCTACGATCTCTGCTCTGGTAATCGTGCACACGCCAAGATTTTTCACAAAAGCTCCCAAGCATCTCCTTGTCCAATCCCGGACCAGGCCGCCCCCTGCAGCTTCCGAACCGGGCTGGCTGCCTAACAGACCCGTCGGTGTTCACGCACATCCAGTCCTGTGTTGGTGGTATCCATGCGAGCCTCTGTTCTGTCTTTTTCGACGGCTGTTTATGGGAGGCCGAGTCATTATCCTGGGCATGCCTAATGGTAGCCGTCCAGCACTCGATGCGTTTCGCCAGGACCTGATCATCTTGATTTAAGCTGTGGAAGACCTTCTCGTTTCTTCTTTTCCAAAGGTACCAAGCTGCCACACCAAAGAGAAGCCCTTCCTGCTCCCTCCTAAGATGTTCATCGAGCCAGGCTGAAAATCCAAAGCCATAAGTTAGAGCAGAATCTTGAATACCCAACCTATGCCATACCTGTCTGGAGCTCGGGCACTGGCGGATTATATGCTCGTTGGTCTCCGGACCGTTATTGCACATTGGACAAGAGTCGTCTGTAGTCAGTTTTCTCTTCTTGCGCTGCGCATTCGTCATCAGCCTGTCATGAAAAACCAACCACAAAAAATGCTTGATCCTATTCGGCCCCGTCCATTTCCATAGACGCTTCCAGTACTGGTGGTCATGGGCCTCCTCCGCCCCCCACTCCTTGTCACTCAGCCACTCCACTGCCGCGGCATAGGCTGAACGCAGCTTGAACTTTCCATCAGGTTCCATCCCCCAAGCAGTAATGTCTTCACCCGTTCCCGGCATAGGAGGGTCCGTACCTGCAATCAGGGCAAATACATTCTGAGTCAGGTGCGGCGAGAAAACCTGCCACTTCCACTCACCTTCACTAGTGACCATGTCGGCAACGGTGTGGTGCCAGTTTATGCCCTCGCCATTGCCAATGATATGCTCGCTTAAGACCACACCCTCAGCCAGCCATGGATCATTCCAGAATTGGACATTGTGGCCTGCCCGAATGTCCCACACCACCCGCTGCTGAAGAATAGGCCAGACATCCACAATTCCTTTCCACAGCCTCGAGTAGTTGCTCTTTTTCATCACAAGAGCTCCTGTCTCATTAACTTTGAAGTACTTCCCTTGCAAGATGCGAATCCACAGCTTATCTGACTTATTCAGGAAAGCCCACCCCAATTTCATAAGGTAGGAAAGATTGAGAGCTCTAGCAGAACGTAAGCCCAGGCCGCCTTGCTCCTTTGGTTTGCAAATGGTTTCCCATTTGACCAAGTGGGTCTTGGAAACCCCATCTTCAGCTCCCCAGATAAAGACTCTGACTTTCCTATCAATGATGTCGCAGACGGAAATAGGGAGGACCGCCGTCTGCATGACATAGTTCGGTAGGGCGTTCAGCACCAAAGTTGCCAGAGTAACTCTGCCTGCAAGGGATAGACTCCTTGCCTTCCACCCTGCAAGACGTTGGTCGATCTTCTCCAGGATGAATTTGTAGGTATCTTTTGTCACCCTGCCATGGATTACCGGAACACCCAAGTATCGCCCCAAGTTACTGGTCTGCTTAATCCCCAGCAAATCACTAATCCTTCTCTTCTGGTTCTCCTTGGTGTTCTTGGAGAAGAAGACACAAGACTTGTCTTTGCTCACTTGCTCGCCCGAGGCCTCACAAAACCGGTTAAGACATGAGAGGACTTCTTCTCCCTGCTTCAGATCCGCCTCCGCAAACAGGACCAGATCATCTGCAAAAAACAAATGAGTGAGGGCAGGACCATCCTTAGACAGAGTAATAGGCCTCCAGGCTTTCCTATCTACAGTAGGGCTGTTAACGGTGCGGTTTCGGTTTTAACCGAACCGCAACCGAGTAACGTCCAAAAAGGCCAACCGCAACCGACACCGATGGCCTTGTCGGTTAGCCGAAAACCGCCGCCACGGTTTCGGGTCGGTGTCGCGGTTAGCAGAAGACCGACGCAGAGGGCGAATCTGGCCGGATTTCTGGATCTGCTGGCGACGTCGGCCTTGCTGGGCGGTGTGGGGATGGCTGGATGACATCGCCTTTGCTGGGCAAGGTTGGAACTACTGGGCGACGTTGGTATTTTTGGGCGACGACGGAACTGTCGGGCGACGTCGGACTGCCGGGTGATGGCGGGACTGCGGGGCGACGATGGCGAGATGACTAGCGATGGGGGAATGGCGATGTTGACGATTACTGGGAGTCTGGGACTACGAGAAGGAGGATGAAGGCGGCAGTGGGGAAGCCGAGAAGGGCGGTGGCGAGCGACGATGGGTCGACGACTGCAGCAGGGACTCCGAAGAGTCTGGGATGGTAGGGCACGCAGTTGTCTCGGTTTAACCGCCACGGTTTCGATTTTCACCGATAACCGCAACTCTCTCTAATTTACCGGTGACTGCCAACCGACACCGCCAACCGACACCGACGTTGCGGTTTTCGGTCTACCGAAAAACCGACGGTCTCGGTCTCGGTTATGAGGTTAACCGGAAAACCGGCCACCGATTAACAGCCCTAATCTATAGAGTCCTTGATGCAATGACTCAATCTTTCAATACATAAAGTGAAGAGATAGGGTGAGAGAGGACATCCCTGACGAAGACCCCTAGTGGGTTGAAATGGCTCAGTGCATCCGCCGTTCCACAACACCTGGAAACGCACCGTCGTCACACACGCCATGACAAGTTTGACGAAATTCTCAGGGAGACCGGCCGCCTGAAGGGTTGATTCCAGAAACTTCCAATTGATTCTGTCATATGCTTTGGCCAGGTCAACTTTGAGAATCATTTGACCCTTGGCACCCGTCCTGAGCGACATAGTGTGGACCACTTCCTGCAAGATGATGATGTTGTCCGTGATATGTCTTTTCGGCACGAAGCTAGACTGGCTCTGGTCAATGAGCTGAGGCATCAAATTTTTGAGCCGGTTTGCCAGACATTTCGCCAACACCTTATAGCTCACGTTACAGAGACTGATGGGTCTGAACTGAGCTACTTGCTTCGGGAAATCCACCTTGGGCAGCAACACCAGAAGGGTTTCATTGCACCTCCTGATCCGCTCCGGGTACCTGAAACAGTCAACAATGTGGTCATGGAAATCAACACCCACCCTGTCCCAACATTTCTGGTAGAAGGTAGCATGAAAGCCATCCTTCCCTGGAGCCTTGAGACCTCCCATCTCCTTGATTAACTGAAACGTCTCCTCGGGGAGAGGGCTGGCAGCTAGGTGCGACGTCATTTCTCTGGTAAGGACATTGAAGAGAGCCGGGATATCTTGCTTCCCTGAGCTGTCCTCCGAATATAGCCGGATATAGAACTCCCTGGCCATCTGTTTAAGCGTCTCCGGATCCTCCACCCAAGTCCCATCCTCTTGTTGCAGTTTAGTTATTCTGTTCTTCCTGCGCCTAGTGAGAGCAACGGTGAAAAAATAGCGAGTATTTTTATCCACATTCACAATCTGGTTGGCCTTCGCCTTCTGAAGCCAAAGGAGTTCTTCTTGCCATAAGGTTTGCTCTAGTTCCTCCCGAATCTACCCTTCATTCCTTAGGGAAGCTTCACTTGCAGCCTGTTCATTCTGAGCTTCCAGTCTAGTAAGTTGCTTTGACAGAATGGCTTTCCTCCGAAAAATGTTCCCAAACACCTCTTTGTTCCACCGTGTGAGATGCGCTTGAAGATCCTGCAAAGACAACAAACAGTCCCTTCCTCGGTTCCACGAGGCCTCAAGTGCAGTAGGGAAATCCTCATGAGCAAGCCAAGGCACTAAGAAACGAAAAGGTCTTACCTGCCTAGGAGGGGTGTGCCCACAGTCGCTGCATATGAGAATAGGTCTATGATCCGAACGAAGCTTAGGCAGATTTGTAGACACCGTATCAGAAAACTTCCTTATCCACTCTTAGTTGCATAGAGCTCTATCGAGGCGCTGTGATAGCCTCCCATTGCTCCAAGTGAACTTAGGACCAGTATAACCGACATCAAGAAGCCCACAATCCCGAATGCACGCATTGAAATTCGCTGTTCTACTCGGATTATATGCAGCTCCTCCTATGCGCTCTGAAGGACAGGTGACGGAATTGAAGTCGCCTGCCAACAGCCACGGCCTCTCAATACTGCTCTCCAGCCTCCGAATAGGCGCCCAGAGGGGTAACCTGTCATGCTCGTTTGGTTTGGCGTAGACGGCAGTCAAGAGGACCGAGTTACTATTTTGATCTGTGCACAAAAGATGGAGAAACTGTGAGTCACGGACCAGCTCAGTGATCGAGAGGTGGGAATCCAACCTGAGCACCCAAATGCCACCGGAAAAACCAATAGCATCCACCACTAAATGCTTATCAAACCCCATAAACTTGATAACATCTTCCGCATCTTTGCCACTGATTCGTGGCTCGAGGATGAAGACGATATTGGGTTTGTGGGTAAACATATACTCTTTGAAAGTAGCAAGGAACCTCGGGTGTTTAGCCCCCCGGCAATTCCAACTGAATATTTTAAACATCAGGAATAAAGGTAAGAGAGGGTACTTCCCTGAATCGCAAAGGCAAAGGGGACTTTGCTTAAACATCCGTCTCCACCATCGGAGTTCCATCATTCATCGTTACGGCATCAACCGACGATTTCCCTCCCTCCGAGCTAGTAGTCTGGGTCTCGCTGGTAACCGCCATGGGTTCCCTTTCCTTCCTGTGTCCCAATTTGGTATCTCCCATCGGCTGCAGGGAATTGAGTTGGAGAAGCAGTTCCTCCAAAGCTCTGCGTTGATAGGGCTCATTTTTTTTTGTTTTGCTCGCTTGCTGTTGTCCGGCCCCAGAACGCACACCATGGCTTTTCTTTGCAACGCTGAGGTTAGTTACCTTCTTCCCTTTGGGGGGAAGATTCTTACTCTTTGATTTCTCTCCGAGACGTTTCCGAATTGAGGTGCTTGTTTGGGGGTTCGCCGCTGCTGCTAGAGTCTCGGAGCCATCACTGGGCACGAGGATCAGGTTGC